TGAGAACATGGGGTATTTAAGCATTGGTATGTCGATACTTCGCGAAAATATAGTAGGAGATAAAATTAGGGGGACGATAGCTTAAGCTATGTAAAATATATGGCAATCGCGAGAGAACTTGATTGAACATGCAGAGGGTCAATATTACCTATTGCCTCGTCAACCCAGCTTCTTTCTGGCATATTATGTTCTTTTCATATCAGCTATCAGAAACTTCCTAAGGCTATCTAAAATTAGACCCCTTTGAGAGCGTCGATTGTCGCCTGTAAAAAGCGGCATTGAAGAGATATACTTGGAAAGATTCTTAACGCTTGCCTAAGCCCTAGGATTCACTTCCTATAGGCTTGAGTCTAAGCTTCGTCAGGTTTCTCCCGGTTCGCCGTTAGCTGCCACCCAATTGTCTGTGCGCAAAACCCGCGAAGACAGCGTGAAGAATAGAAGCGGTCGACCATTGATGAGCTCTTATCACTTTATATCTCGGTCTCTCTTCCTTCCCTAAATGCTTATAGAACTAGAGGTTAGCGGATACCCTAGCATTCTTTTTATCCAGGCAGATTTTATGCGTTCGTTTTTCCGCGGATTTCCTAACGACTATAGCACCATAGATATGAATTCAACCGCTGCATAGACGGCCGAGCATGCGGAGAGTACCACACGAGAAGATGACTGTGAGCAACAGGAGCTTGGCGGATGTACAACTTCAATTATGCCTATCGAGTTTTAAAGTCTAGTAGGACGGCAAAGTTCACTTGATAAACTGCACTTGAACAATGCAGTCTTGTCTGCTGCCGCGTTGGCTTTAAATCGCAGGCGGTTACCCCTCTAGGAATCCAAAAGCCCGCGATCCATGCTGTCACCTGTTGGGCAAGATTAGGCGGGTAGTGAAGATCCAACCCTCTACTATTCACGGCACTCGTTTAATTCCGGACTCCATTACGAGGGCTTAATTAGAACTCTAAAAACATATCATAGTTATGGAATAGGCCGTCACATTGAGAACCGAGCTTCACATGGTTCGTTATTAACCGGTCGTACTATTTTTTCCCCTAAAGACTTCACAGAACCTGTAAGGCTTAAATGAAATATGTAATGGAAAAAAAATCTGGTCTTTTAAATAGTTAGATGAGCAATATGCATTAATATTCTTTACCTAATAAAGTTATTACCAAGTACAGGTTAGTCCATCTTGGATGCCTTGGTGGGGTTTGGCCGGCTTGTGGTGTGGTACATGGTCTGTTTGTAGCAACGAATGACCGCAAGTATGATCACTGAACTTGAAAATCAGATCTTATCGCTTAGAATATATGTACTTAGTTCGTGGAACTCAGCTTCTGACCCTCTAAAACCTGGATTTGAGCTCGCGATGGGTTATGTTGGGCCTTGCTTCTAGACAGGACATCGTCTTACCTATAGCTTCCAATAGTCGCACGACGTGGGCATTTAGATCCTAGAATAGCTATCTTAGTACCTGAATCTGTCTTCCTGGTTCATCGAACTTAATTATAAGATTTTGAAACGCTGACGTGGCCGCGTAAAAATAGCCTAAGCCCGTCGCGGGGCGCCATCTCGAGGAAAGATGAGCTCTGCCCAGCAATTATAAAGTGTGGAGAGCCATGGCCCAATAAGTCGAGCTCGAGTTCAAGAGTGAACATCGCTTTACAACGACTCTACCTTACCTTATTATTTGTAACGTCCAGATCGCCTTTTGTATTCCTACATCTTTGCCATGCTTTGCTTACCGGACGAAATCCAGTACCTGATCCTCCAAAACCTGTATCAGGTCACTGAGGATTTTCGACGGCACGGAAATATGTCCGACGTCTTATCTTGCCGCATGGTTTGCAGAAGGCTGGCAAATGTTGGAGCATATTTTGCATTCCGCAGTGTTAACTTCACTCATAGCGAAGCCGGCTACCAAAGACTGTTATCCGTGTCACATTCCGGCCATGAAGATAGGGTACGGTATCTTACCTGCAGTTTTGAAGACTTTGAGTCCGAATTTCTTTCAAAAGATAATTTTGTTGCCTTCATAAAACGACTCGCTGGAGAAGGTGGTTTTGACAAAATATGCCTAAGAAAACTAGAAGAGGCACACAAAGAATATTGTCACGGATATTCGCGGAACCGTGTCCTTGAAGAGTCTAATTTGGACGTAGCCAGTCTGAGTGTCATTCTGCCACGCTTTAAATGCCTCCGCTCGATCAGCTTTTCCCAATCCCCTGACAATATACCCGGGGTGGGATTTGATAGCTTATTTTATAAAGACGTTAAGCACTCGTTGCAGCTACCCACTGGCCCTAGAGTTTTCAGATCTTTTACGACTGCCCTGTACGCAACAAATGCGAAGCTCACTAACCTAGTGCTGCGTTCGCGTGATGCAGAAGGCTTTAACATGCCTTTGACAGGTATATTACGAAGCTTAAGTTCCGTGAGGTCCACGATTTACGAACACGTCTTTGGTGAGCTAAAAACTCTGAGTATAGAGCTGCCACCTTACAGAGGGCCGGAAGTGGACTATGAGGATGGTCTGCTTAAGTTGATCCAGTCTGCCCCATTACTTGAGAAACTTAAAATATTGATGGGCTATGGTGAAGATAGGATGTTGCCCCCGAGGCTTCTTGATCGCATGACCATTCCAAAACTACGAATTATTAAGATTAAAGGTGGAGACTTTTACGATTCATTAAGTTTGATAAATTTTGTTTTTAGACACTGCTTTACTCTAAAGGAAGTAGAAGTGTGCAGGGTTGCGCTCCGTGAGGGGTCATGGGAGCATGTCGTTTCTCATTTAAGAAAGACCCTACTGGAGCCTGGCGTAGAGGAAGGGGGTGGCTCAGGCCAGCAAGACGGACCTTCCATTTCATATTGTAAAGGACTCAGGGAGTCGTTCTGCTGCCATTGCACCTGGCTGGCTATGGACAAAGCTTAGTAGATGCTTGTGTACGGCCGCGGAAGAGCTCGGGAGTCATGCAGTGGCTATTGTTCTTAAGTAATTCATTGTGCTGCTCTGTAGGCCGTTCTCTGACTAGTTCCTAAAATTCCTTAGTTTGTTGATTGAAATCCGGTTGGCCTGTGGAAACGCGATACTACGAAGGCAAGCAAGCTATGCCCAAGCATTAAGAGGTTTCGGAGTCACTCTCGACACACCAGAGGATATCCCATGTGAGCGAGCAAGGCAAACTTGTGACCTGAGGTCAATGAATCCAGCAATGAGACTAATTTATTATTCATGTACAAAAAATGCCTTAAGCAATACATTCTTTCACTAAAAGCTCTGTATAATTCGACACTTAATCTTAGTGAGACCTAGCGTGCATGACCTTCTTCGACAGGAGACTTCTTAGTTGCGGAAGACTGTGCCGGTATTTCCAGGCTCTTAGTTGTAATGGCGGGTGCGAGATAAGTTGGATCATTAGTGGCTCCCTGCGAGTACCTGTCTTGGACTTTCAGTGGACAGTGTGCGGTAGCCGAACACAACAAGATCAAGAAACTTCAGTTCAGTTCTTAGAACTAGATTCTGAGGTTCCAGTGCTTAAATTTGATTTTTCAGACATGAGCCACTAGTACGCAGCCCGATCCGCCTAAATGTGGGCCCTTCTCTAGCAGATGTTTTTAGTCTAGTTTGACTGCACTGGCGCCTAGAAACCAGACACTAATAAACGAGATCACGAGTTTTGATTCTGGAATACTACTGGCTCAGTTCTTAGATCTTGATAATGAGCTCCAAGGTCTTTTAATCCCTAGCAAGAATAAATAAGTAGCAAGAGGACGGGTTAAGGCAAGCCCAAGGAAGGGAGTATACTATAACACACAACCACTATGAACTGTTTTTCGTGCTCCGGGGACAGGAGCACTCAGCGGCCTCGAACCAAGAAACCTACTCCTCTGAAGTTATTCCACCATCCTTTGGAGGTCACCCGACCACCTACGCCGTACCCCTTTCACTGCTCTAAACAAGACCGACGTGTATGCAATCCCAACAGGGGACAAAATAACACCCCCAACGACAAGACTGAGCTCAAGATGAATGGGCTATAGAGCCCCCAAAGCGCCAATCTCAACAATGCCCCCATCCTCGATCTTCCAGAGACGGCGGATATTGAACTTGGCTATCACATAAATGCAATAGGCAATGATGTCGCCGACATGATGCAACAGCTAGATATAAGAGGGATTAGGACTACCTAGATATGATTTGAATTAAATGTCATCTGTATTATTATTAGTAGTAGTATTAACATTTAACTGGAAAACCTATAACTAACATTTCTGTCCGAATGAATACACCTGCTATGAGTTGTTCTAGTTCCGCCGGATTCTTGAACACGAACCGCTTCAGCCCGTCTGGAGTTACCCCACACCCTGCCAGAAGTATGGGCGACCACCCCCCATATGCAATCCCATGGAAGAACAAAGCAATGGCTCAGATGGCACGACTAAGCCCATACCGAAAGTGCCACGGGCAAACGGATCAGAAAACATGGTTTCAAAGCATGCTGCCCTGTATCGGATCCCAGAAGCCGGTGCAGTTGAGCAACTCGACCCTTAGATGAACCTAGACGCCAAGGATATGGCAGAAATGATGTACAGGCTGCATTTAGGGGGAAGAAATGGGACTTGCTAGGTAAATTGAATGAGGGGTTCCCATACCGGACGTCCCAAGTAGTTAGCTGTGTGAATTTGTAATTGCACAGCCAGATGGCAGCGGTGAATCGTGGTTCTAAGATTACGTATTTTAGCTTTGTAACTTATAAAGCATAAGTATCCGAGAACATAGACATCAGATATACTCTGTGCCGGCAGAAGTGCGGCCGCACATCATATCTATTCAGCCTACAACATTTTTTGAGCTTGGGAACTTGTTCAAGAAATCTCCACAGACCTCGGGATTAGGGATTGCAACGGGCCACGGACGCAACACAGGCGTAGAAGCAAGGTCGACGGAGCTGCGAGACTGCGAGAATCACAACACTCCGGAATGTCTCCGCGGGCTGTACAAGATGAACAATGACTACGCAAAGCCACACAAGAAATCACTGCTGGGAGTGGCTGGATTCGATGGAGTGAGTAGAATTGGTTCTTTTCAAATTGGAAAGCACATGAGCTCACACCGTTCACAGCAAGCAGCGCAGTATGACCAGCTGGAGAAGTACCTTGACACATATGCCCCGTATGCCAAGGGGGCCAGCTTTTCCGTCGAGCTCATCAACAACGGTACAAATCCCCAGGGCGAGTATCCTGGGGCCGAGGCCAACATGGACACTCAAATTGCCGTTTCAATGGCGTTCAGAGTTCCAGTCCGGTTTTACTCCACGGGGGGAGAGGACCACGGATTCATCCCCGACTTGGAGTAGGTGCCTGCTTGTTGGTCGATATTATTGAACCGAGAACTGACTAAAGTCTGGCAGTATTTCTGACCCCAACAATCAATACATCGAGCCGTGGCTACAGTTTGTCAGCTACTTGCTGGATTTGCCCGACCGCGACTTGCCACAGGTCATGTCCATCTCATACGGCGTCAACGAACAGGCGGTCCCCAAGCCGTATGCGCTTCGAATCTGCCAGATATTCGGACTTCTCACGCTCCGCGGCATGTCCATCATCATGGCGTCGGGTGACCAGGGACCAGGTGTTTCCTGCCAGTCCAACGACGGCACCGACACCACCAAGTTTCTGCCAGCATTCCCGGCGGGATGCCCCTACGTGACAGCAGTTGGTGCGACTGAGCAAAACTACCCGGAGAGAGCGGTGAACTTTTCGTCGGGGGGTTTCTCGGAATACTGGCCCAGACCCGCGTGGCAGGAGGCAGCTGTGTCACGGTATCTCGCCGCGCACGGAGAGAGGTGGAACGGGTATTACAATAAGGCTGGCCGAGGCTTTCCAGATGTATCCGCGCAGGGGATCGGATACCCCTTTTTCAACCACGGCCGTAACAGGGACGGGGGAGGCACCAGGTAAGGGGATCAACTTTGCTCGTTCTGAAATATTGTAGAGAATTAACAAGGCTGAAGTGCGTCGGCGCCATTGTTCGCCTCCATGATTGCCGTCATTAACGACAGTCGTATGAAGAGGGGCAAACCACCGCTGGGATTTCTGAATCCCTGGCTGTATCTACGCGCCAGTCGCGCGTTCACAGAGTGAGTAGCAAGACAGCTTCCCGTCTCGGGATGGAACTGAATGAGAGGCTAACACAGGAGGCTGTAGTATTACCCACGGCAGATCGGAGGGCTGCAAAGGCACAAGCTTCAGCGGCGCAAAAGCCCCAGTCATTCCCGGAGCAGGGTGGGACGCTGTAAAGGGATGGGATCCAGTTACCGGGCTAGGTACGCCGTTGTTTGACGAGCTGTACAAGTTGGCGATGGAATAGGCACGGGCAGAGACGTATCAAAATAGGAAACTCATGAGACATGAACGTATGCGGTTCGTCTCTGCTGTCCACGGTTGATAGAAAACGAATGGACCGTGTAATCGAGCAAATGGCCTTCGGCTGGGCTTTGACTTGTCTACCACGCACCAACGTAGCTCTGAGGATGCCAATGTTGGGGCATCTGATGAGCTGTCTTGACGTCAATTGATACCTTGGCCCCTTATCCAACCCCCGATAAGTGACCTTTGCTGGGGCATTGAACATGATCTCTGGGACATAACAGGCCTCCCACTTGACTTTACTGATATCCAGAAGCGTCACAACGGCCAAGAAGTGGCCTCCGATATCTCCCCAACTGCCCTGTCGCACTACTCGGTTGGACCTGCTGCTAGAATCCAGAATGCACCGTCTTCGGCCTCGCGGGGCTCGCCAAGCACGCTTTGATTCTGGTTCCAACTGGCAAGTAAGTGAGCATGCCTTGGCGAGAGCAAGTTGGCAGTTCAGAGAAAAGGCACATTGGCAGGGATAGCCAGGGCGCACGCCAGGCCGTGACCAAGGAGTAATGTCGCTGGCGACAGTCTCCAGAGTACTTGGCGTGATTTCAAATCCTGTTGGATTACTTTTGAGAAGAGAGCATTGAGGCAACTCCTAAAAATATTGAGCATATTGACTTCAGCATCAGAACTCAGCCGCGTTTATGTGGTCACTGCCAGTATACAGACAGTACATACGATTCGTAATCTTGCAACGAATCTCTTCTTGCTTTTGGTTCTTGGGAGACAATCTGAGCGTGGGTGAGAATGGAAGAGAGCCTTCCGTGCTGAGAGAGAAGACACGACTGCTCATGTACGGGTTGTGAAGAACTGGCTCGGCTACCTCATCTGGAGCCACTGCCGCCTTGCTCTCGGGGTGGGTATTGGGCTTGACCGTTAAGTTGGGCAAAAAGGATTCATCAGTAGGGGCTGTTGGCCAAGAATATCCCCAACATCCAGCTAATAAGAGTGGTCGTTTGTCTCTTGGCCCATGACACTTGGCGTCTGTTGGTGATTCTCCCGCATGGAATGTCAGCCATGTATTGGCGCTATCTGATTCTTGAAAACGGTATCAGTACGGAGTAGAGTAGTACTTTTATAGAGAACCTGTTTCTTCATTGCGCAGGATTCTTGGCGTCATAGTCAGAAAACGACATCAAAAGGCCCTTTTCCCGCAGAATCCTCAGTGTCTCTCTCAGCAAAGAGTCGCATACACGCCATCAGGAGACACTCAATAAATATTGTCTCATCCGCAATTCATCTCTTCAAAATGAAGTTTTTCAACTCTATTGTCGCCCTCGCTGCCCTATTTTCCTCTGTCGAGGCCTGCTAGTGCATCTCAACCGATGGCGTCAAGGATGCCGCCACGAAAAGCTGCTGCCGTGAGGCTGGTGGCTCTCCCGATGGCAACCAATGCCCGGCTCGTATGATTAGCGACAGTATTACTAGTACTTTTGCGTCTTGCTGCAGGGCATACGGGACCAGGTCTGACTGTCGCTGTCCCATCGGCTGTGCTCGCACGGAGCTCACTGCCCAGCACAAGGCTCAAGGCAAAGCGCCGCCTACCGAGGACGAGGTTCGTGCCCTAGTCGCTTCTTACGAGGACTAGACTCCTAGACGTTATGTGCTGGGAAGTATGCGCTGGAGTAGCATAAGTCGAGTCTATGACGATTGGCATGAAAGGGGAAACAACCAACCGAAGGACTTTCCCGGCACCTTTCTGGTCCCATACGTTTCTGCCTTTGGGTCTACGAAATAGTTGGACAACGGCTGTGTTGAGGCTACATTGGACAGAGTTTACTTCTACCACTCCTTTTTGTTAGGCAAAGCGGGATAGAGAACTTGGTGGCCGAGTAGAGTGAATACGGCACGTTGGCAAGCCATAAGCTGAGGACTGCAGCTTCCCGCTTTGTATCTTCAATATAATGTAAAACACGGGCGTTCCCCAGCCTTTAAATCGATTCACAAAAAAATACTCTTCGGCGACTGGTCAATGGAAATATGGCTTACGCCATTCACGTGTATAGCATCGCGAACGTCGTGATTTGGTGTCGCTGCCACCAAGCCGGTATCTATCTTGATGCTGTCACGGGTTAGATGATTTCTGGTGAATGAGAAAATAAAGAAAAAGAGAAATAATCAGGTGTTGTTTGGGTTGGGTTACCTGAATCCATCCTCAGGCCCGCATCTCTCTCGTGATATGAAGCATATCGGTTCCTGTGCGAGTAGACAAACAAACGGCAACATCGCATTGCCACCCCAGAGCCGCATGTAGTTACTACACTTGGCTAAACCAGACTTCACTTGACTGTAGATTCCGTCACTCGGAAGCCCCGGGATCCTCTACATCACCGCAGGCACCGTCTTCAGTATCCACCACGTTTGTAGCACCTTCATACTCGAAGCACCTTTGTTAGCAAGCTTTTGCTTTCGGTGCCTGTTTAACGCATTTGAACTCCCGAGTGTACCTTGTTCATTTCCCTCCTTGCTCTACCGTGAGGCCCGCCATGAGTACGGCGCAGGCTGTGATTGTACGGTCTAACCCTTTCATGCCGGTGCCCAATTCTAGCGCGGCAACAGCCATTGGGAGCAACTTGCTGGTTTCCACGTTTCACAAAGCACTATGGATTCTCGCAACCAACGTCTCATGCGAGACCAGGCCTAGAGTGAATATGGCCGCTATGTGCCCGCAGGCGTTCACGAGACTTGGCCGGGGCCACGTAAACTCCGGCTCCGTGTCGTGAGGTACATGTTTCCAGTAAGATATCCCTGCATCGTCGTGAGATGACTCGTTGCAAGGTACGGGTAATGACACGGGGTTCATGTCTCGGGGCAACCAACATGCCCCAAGCCAACTGCCACAGCAGGTATTGGATCGACAGTTGATCCGTGTGATAAAAAAAGATCCGGCCATGGCGGTCTTTGCAGAACCTGCCCAATATCCAGCTAATAAGAGGTGTCTTTTTGCCCTTTTGGTTCTTGGCTGATGACACTAACCCGGCAAGCCTCCAGCTTTTTCAACGTCAACCTGCTGCATTGGCAAACGAGTATTCAAACTCAGACACCACAATGTCGTTCATCTCTCCAACCATATTTGACTCACCATTATGCGGCAAGCAATGGCGAATGGGGCCAGCCACGGAGGTCACGTCACTCTTCGGACCACGCTTGAAGTCGTCTTGGCTGCTGTTGCTTCACAGTACTTTACGAAAAGTCGTCTGAGCTGTATACCGAAATCCTTAGCTGGGTCCTGTTGCCGTTCTTAATTACATAGGTCAGGGGATCCAGGCGTTCCAAAGCCAATAATGCCAATTTACCGCTTGAGTATAGTAGTGGAAAGTTATCTAGGAACATGTACTGGATCGTCGCACTCGGCCTGGTCGTTGCAACGTTTTGTACTGCAGAGAATGATGCAGTGAGGCTTATAGTGAGGATGGCTCAACATTCAAGCAAGTACTTGTGCGAGATTAACCTTTGATAGCCTGCGTTGACACCGGCTCTGCTCGTGTTTCAGGCAAAATCGACAGCCTTTACCTTGATGACGACATGGTATGCCGTTGCTATCGCTATATTTGGAATCACACGTTATCGGCTTGGAGCATCTCGGCCGTCTTAATATTTGCCATGGAGCTTCTTGGCCTATTTGCCGCATACGCAACGTTATCATCAAAACTTGCCTCCGGCTTGGGTGTTGCCTCCATCGATGGTATGGATATACATATGCGCCGGCTTGCACCTCGGGCCATGAGTGCCTTGCTTTTCGCCATGGCGATACAAGTAATTTTCCTGGGCTTCGTACCTTTTGGTGCTGCTGCTATGCTTGTAGCAAGTATTGCAAAGTCTTACGCAACCTTGCGCGTGTTTGAAATGGTTTGTGAAGCCGCTTCCCCCATATATTGTCCATCTTCTAAACTCAAGCAGGTCTATTATACCTTGTGGGCTAATGCTGCCGTTATCAAAATGTTCAGCGTCTTCGCCACGCGAAATGCTAACATTCAGTCGTTCTACATCCAGGCGCTTCACTACATTGTTAGCTTTGCGTTGACCCTAGGCCAGCTCATTGTATTTACCCCAAGACACGTCACTAACAAGAAGTTGCTGTGGGCGCTGATGCTTGTGCCTCTTCTTCCGTACCTGGCGCACAGGGCTGCTATTCGCAGTGCGCGGTTTTAGAGGAGTCGTGTTCGCCAATACGCACAAGCATCCCGTCGAGAAAATTATTGACGTGGCAAACAGCAATTTCGAAGCCATGTTGAAGAATCTTTCAAACTCCATCACGGCTGCAAGAAATGAGTATCGCCGCCGCTACAAGATGGAGGCGCCGCCAGGATTTGAAGCTTGGTTTGAGTACGCTACGCTTCACCAGTCCAAGCATCGACAACTTTGACACGATGTGCTTGTCGGTTGCGCCTTTTTGGTCTCTAAGCGGCCAGCAAGTTCTGAAAGCCATGACACTGGTACAAGAATCCCCAGATGGCGATGTTTGGACATGCACCTTCTCCCGCAAATCGGGCAACACAAAACGCGCTCACCGGTGGCGTGGCTTTGACAGGCACATTGCTGAGTTGCTCAACACATATCTGCCGGGAAATATGCAAGGAATTCCGCGAGACGTCGAGTTCTTAGTCAATCACCTCGACGAGCCTCGAGTCCTACTGCCGAGACACATGGCATCAGGCACCATCAAAGAGATGCATCTCTCAGCAGCCTACCTGGTCAGAGCTTGTCCAGTATTGCCATCACAATGACTCCGCTGCGCCGGGAAAGGAGATTGAAACACACGGCTTGCCTTTTGTTCAAAATATGTCCAACAACATTGACCTTTGCCGTCACAGGGAATACGAGCACATGCATGGCTTGTTTGTGAGCCCAACATCCATGCGTCTGCTAGAGGGGACGGCACCAGTTCTCTCGACCGGCGCTCCATCCACAATGGGAGACATTTTATTCCCGAGCCCAGCGTACACGGAAAGGAGGTTTTCGTACAGCCCCGAGCATGACGCGGACTGGGCTTTGAAAAAGAACAATTTGTACTGCACAGTCTCCACGACGGGAGGGGTTCGCGGCGGACTCGCAATGGTCCAAATTCCACCGGCAGCGATTTGTCAGCTTGGCTCAGAATCTGGAGAGAAAGCAACATGTGTACCTCACAGACAGAAACGGCGAGGTGCGGTGTGTCAACTCGTCCTTCCTGAACAGCAGACTCTACAATGTTGCGTTTACCAATGTGTATCGTGGCGTCGGGAGATGGCGGCGTGAGCAGACCTTTTTTTACCGCATGAGACCCTGAGCAGACAAGAATGAAGCTCTCCGCTCGCGCCTCGTCTTTGATCTGGACGGCAACGGCATCAGCGGGCGGTGGTACAGACTCCTGGCCTCCAAATCCACGCCGCTTAAACAGACTCTTCTCCGCGAATGGCACGACGACCACCTGGTTCCTTGGGTGCACTACGTCCCTGTTAGTCAGAATATGGGTGAGCTGCCGGAGCTGGTGGCTTATTTGACATCTACGACGCGGGGACAGCAACACGCACAGCAGATTGCAATTCGGGGCGCCGAGTGGTTTCAACAGGCATTTCGAAGGGAGGACATGTCGGTGTATTTGTATCGATTGTTGCTGGAGCTGGCCAGATTGCAGGACCCGGAGAGGCCTGCACATGTGTCATGAGCGAAAAATGTACGAGTATATTGACGAATACAGCATTTTTCAAAAAATATATATTAATAAAAGGTCTCTCTTACGAGCTGGCTATCGGAGATGTTGAAATCAGCTTTATCTCCATAGTATCTCTCGCTTTGATTGGACCCGGTTGCCCCACATGCCATGAGGTGGTCAAGAGGTGACCTGACGCCGCTCCCGCCCCACATTGAAGTCTCTCGCCGTCTCCGGTCATCGGTGCGCCCCGCCAAAACTGCCGCACGACTCAGAGGCACGAAACCTTTGCAGTCCTGTTCCTCACACACATCGCGACAATCCCACACCCGTCAATTGGCGTCACTCCCTACTGTTTCAACTACAGTCATGGAGTCGCTCGTCATCAAGACCCCGTGCTCCAGCGCCAACATTGGGCCCGGCTTTGATGTCATTGGTCTTGCCCTCACCGTCTACCTCGAGCTCCATGTCACCATTGACCGATCCAAGACGTCGACCGAGCACCCGCTCAACTGCATAATCACCTACGAGGGCCAGGGCGAGGGCACTGAGGATATCAGTCTCGACCCGCAGAGCAACCTGATCACCCGTGTCGCGCTGTATGTGCTGAGATGCCATGACCAGCGCGCGTTCCCGGTTGAGACGCATGTGCACATTAAGAATCCCATTCCCCTGGGCAGGGGGTTGGGAAGTTCGGGCGCTGCCGTAGTTGCTGGTGTGATGCTGGGCAAGGAGGCGGGTGGGCTAAAGCATCTGGATCTGGACCGACTTTTCGACTATTGTCTGATGATTGGTATGTGTGCCGGTGTGGTTTTGATACCTCCAAAGTTGCCTGGCGTGAGATTCGAGTTTGACAAAATCCTGCAGAAAGACATCCGGACAATGTGGGCGCCGCCTTGTTTGGCGGCTTCGTCGGTACCTACCTGATGCCATTGAACCCCGAAGACGCTGCGAGAATAGAAATTCCTCTTTCCGAAGTCCTTCCCTCGCCAGCTGGCGGCGTTGATACGGGAAAGAAACCTCCCTCGCCGCCGGTCGGCATCGGTCACCACATCAAATTCCCCTGGGCCAAGGAGATCAAGGCGGTCGCCATCATTCCCGACTTTATCGTGCCCACGGCATCGGCGAGAGCTGTTCTTCCGGAAAAGTATCCCCGCCAGGATGTGGTACGTACACCCTGCCCGCGAACCAGTCACGCGGGCTCATCATTGGTACCCTGTTTCTAACTGCCAGCTTTGTGCCGTGCCAGACATTCAACCTCCAACGAATTGCCCTTCTCCCCGTCGCCCTGGGCCAGTCGCCGCCGGACCCCGAACTCATCCATCTCGCCATGCAGGACAAGATCCACCAGCCCTACCGCCAGACCCTCATCCCGGGTCTCACAGAAGTCGTCGAGTCAATGTCCCCCAAGACCCAGCCTGGCTTCCTGGGCGTGTGCCTCTCCGGCGCGGGTCCTACAATTCTGGCGCTTGCCACAGGCAACTTTGAGGAGATTGCAAACAAGATCATCGCCACGCTGAGGCAATACAACGAGAAGAAGGATTTAGCCTGCCAATGGAAGATTTTGGAACCCGCCGAGGGTACGCATGTAGTTCGATAGACTGATAGAGAAAAGACAAATAGACCAGGGACTGGCGGCCAATCCCAAAACAGCCGCGGAAAATCATTGCGCAATTTCAATTCATCAGCCTCACTTCCGGCGGGCCAATTCGGGACGTCCTAATATTTATCGTTTCATTGCGGCACGTAACACGGATCGCCGTGGGTTAACCCGAACACCGAGCACCGTCATCGGCGGCGCCGCCACGTGTTACCCGGAGCTCCAACTTCACCTCGTCCGACCCAAGTTGGGTATCAATCGCCCATCATTCCATCAAACTCCTTCATCACCGACGAATCTCATCAACTGCCACACACCATCACGTCCGCCATCATGTCCTCTCCACCCCCGCCAGGAATCTACGTGCCCGTGCCAACCTTCTTTACCTCCAAATCCAGCTCCGCCTATGACCCTGCCATCCCGCCCGTCGACATCGGCACCCAGACTGCCCACGCAATCTACCTCGCGAAATCCGGCATCAAGGGTCTAGTCATATTCGGCAGTACGGGTGAATCCGTACACATTCACTCGCGAGACCGCAAAGCGGTGCTGCAAGGGGTGCGAGATGCCCTTGTCCACGAAGGGTTCACGGACTACCCCATCATAGCGGGCACGGCCACGGCAAGCATCGAAGAAACCGTCGAGCAGCTCACCGATGCAAAGCAAGGCGGCGCCCACTGGGGAATGGTGCTGGCGCCGGGATACAATGCCGCCGTCACGCCGCAGGAGGGCATCGTCAGGTGGTTTACTGCAGTGGCAGATCGGAGCCCTATTCCCATTCTTGTGTGAGTGTGCGCACCTTGTTGCTTGCCACGTTCAACTACATATGTGCTCGGCTGAGCACTTTTGGAACAGGTACCACTTCCCCGCGGTGTCAAACATGGTCAAAGTCACACCGGCTACGTTTGCCACTCTTGCCGCCCATCCCAACATTGTTGGTTGCAAGCTCTCCCACGGGGACGTTTCTCTACTGACACAGATTGCGCTGAACCCGGCCATTGACACGGCCGGCTTTCACGTTTTCACCGGCCTGGGACAGCAGCTCCTGCCCGTGGTGAGCGTTGGGTGCGTGGGCGCCATTGATGCCTCGGCGGGATTCTTCCCAAAGTCGCTTGTGAGGTTGCTTGAGTTGGCGAGCAAGACGCGGCCTACGGAAGCGGAAGCCAGTGAGAGGAGGGAGCTGCAGTATAAAGTAAGCTGCATGGAGGAGATTGTCAGCAGACACGGCATTGTGGGCATCAAGGAGGCAACCAGTCGGCTGCGAGGGTTTGGGGATGCGGATGGCTCTAGGCTGCCGCTGTACGGGACTATTCAGGGCGGCGAGAATGAGTGGAAGAACTGGGAGGGAGTTTTGGCTGCGCTGGAGGAGGTTGAGAAGCGCCTGTGAGGCTGTAAAGCTCTATTTTCAAAAAAGACGACACGATTCACAGACAGGCCGACATCAAATACCAGACACCATATACTCGTGCTGCGGGCCACAAACGTCTCTCTCGCGTCGGTACAACGCCCGCAGATTTCCACCCCTGCCTTCTCTTAAGCCCCGGCATCAGGCGCAGTCGTGTTATCCAAAATCCCGTAGCGCACCCAGTCGTCAACGTCTTCCTGCGTGATGATGTCCTGCAGCTGCGGCCCCAGGGTTTTGCCCGCCTTGCCGGGGCACACATTCACCCCGTTTGCGTACCCAAAGCCATCATGGTCGCCGAGGGAGAGAAGGTTGAAGACCTGGCCGCTGCAAGCCAGATTATGCACGCCCTTGCAGACCTTGGCCGGGCGGCCCAGCCCTTCCGGGAACCAGAACTCGGGCGTGGTGTGCGCATACCCGGCGCTGCTGTCGCCCGGCACCACCGTCACCGGGTCGTGCTTGTTCGTCACGCGGACCGTCCTGCCGTTGCGCCCGTCAGACACATACTCTGCAAACGCCGTGTTTCCGACCCGCGGCGACCCGTACGTGTAAATGTCGGTCCTGACGCCGCCCTTGCGCAGATATGCGCCCGCGAGCGTCGCTACGCCGCCCCCGAGGGAGTGGCCCGTCGCGACGACCTTGAACCCGGGATTCTGCCTCAGCTGCTCCTGGACGACCTGCATCATGCGGCCCTTGATGCCCGTGAAGGCGGCCCAGAAGCCCTGGTGGACGCGGCACTCGTGACACAGCGGCAGGAGCTTGTCCACCTCGTCGGCGGCTTGTCTAACCCCCCCCGTTAAGTATTAGCAGCTTGCGACGGATGTTTCGCTTCGATGGTATGATCTTCAGGACTGAGGGCCTACAACATACGAGGGCATCACGGCACAGATGGCGTCGGTAATCATGCCCAGGATCCATTTCCACCTCAGCTTGGGTTCCCTCAGACAAGCCAGCACGTCGCTCATGACGTCGCGGATATTCCAGATGTCGGTGCCGCGGAAGGACACCACGATGACGGACTGGCTCTTGCTGACGGCGACGTAGCCGGAGATGGAGCTCTTGTCGCCAAACTCCTCGACGGTGGTGGTGTCTGCCATGCCGCCGCAGGCATGGGCGTTCGGGTTGGTGCACACCAGGCTGTTGAGGGACAAGTCCTGCAGGTCGGGGCAGTACGCCGCCGTGGCATAGCGGGAGTACGTGTTGATGAGCCCGAGGGTCGTGCCGTCGACTTGCACGGGAGAGGCGGCCGAGGGAGTGATGGACAGGAGAGCGAGCGAGGCCCTTGCCAGGGGGAGCTTTGAGAGACGCATGTTGGGAAGATGCGGGTATGGGAAGATACAGACGGTGTTTCAAGCTACGACAAGCTCTGGCAGGCTGTTTGCCTTTTGTTTTCCCTTGAATGACCATGGCGGCTCAAGTTGGTTATATGCTTGATGTGTACGGTTCGCCAAGCTTGGGATCCCTGACGAGGACCAACTTCGAAAAAGCTGCGTCGCGTGGCCCTGACTCAAATATCTGCGCTTGGCACTGCTTGCCACCGAGTCATCTGATATTACGGGGCTATTTCATTTTCTATTTTTTGCATATAGTAGCCCACGTGGGGATGCCCCAGCTGTTTGGTTGTAGATGATGGCGTGATGGCCGCGGGAGGACGGGAGGTTCATCTCATCTGCGGAGATCTGAGGGCAGTAGCGGCGACACACTATCTGTTGCATTGACGACGGTGATGTGAGAATGTCACTCGCCGCCTTGTGGCGATTCAGATTAATATTTTATTTCTTCTGGTTGCGTGGTTTTTGAACTGGCCCATTGTGCGTGCGCATGTTGAAGGGGGAGCATGCACGCATCATTCGGCGTCTTTACGAATGATTTTGGTAGCGCATTGACTGGCGTGATGGGGAAAACGGGGACATGGAAATGGGAAATAGTCCATGCACCAGCGGAATTTTGCCTAGTTTGCGCTCCGAAGGGAGAGGTGGTGCGCTGCTCGAGTCAAATGCGCTTTGCGTGAGAAGAAGTGGTTGCCACGGGGTTTGGAGTTTTGGTGTTGTAGTTTTTAGGGTGCTGATTTGCCCTGTGAATCCTGGAACCTTTTTGATACGAATTGACCAATTTCCCGTTGGCGATTCAGCCCACTCGACACGTGGGTTTGTCTCGGGCACTTTTGGAACGTGGTATGTGAACTTTTCGCACCATGCGAGCCGCTTTGGGTGCCAAGCTGCGCTTTGGGAATCTCGAGCGAGAGGAATGGGGGCTATATCTCGGCTGGTGGGTTTGGCACGAGGATAGGTTGAGGCTTTCGGCTGTGTCTGCATCTTATGGCAGTTTTGCTACTACCCAGGGAAACCGTGCTTGGATCAGCAGCTTCTTCTGCAGTGATGTATGGCCGCAGGACGTGCCGTGTGGGTGATGATGCGGATGCGTGTATGACCGTGACGTCGAATATTGACCATGTGAAGGGTAGGCGCCACGTCTATGATTGCTTTGTAACTGCGTTGGCTCTGCTTATACGCTCCCATGAAAGCAAATAGTACATTGTCGGATTTAATTTTACCAAACATTGAAAATGTCGAGTGATACACTGTTTAATGGCACTTTCCGTGATACTTTCCCGTGTACAGCACTTGAGAATGCACACCGCATGTTAGCTTAAAGAATCCTTCCATGACGAAATTTGGAAGCGTAGAGGTGGGAAATGCAAAGGTCAATAGCTACGTTTCAGACCTGAAGCATGCTCCTAGAAGGTCCTACGTATCATAGCATGTACGACCCTAAAATAAACAGCAAGAAATTCAAGACTTCAGTGGTTAAGCTCTTCGGCGCAAGTGAGACCAGTTAGATCTCTTGGAATCAGGATCATGTGTGTCAGCGGATAAAAATGCAGGGCATCTACAACTAAGAGGCATAGAGGTCAACAGGCGCCAGGGGAAGTGGCATTTCCCCTTAACTTGGTTTAGTTGAATACTGACAAAATTGTTAGCAATGAGAAGAAGAAGACCAGTGAGTTTTCGCGAAAGGACCGAGCCGGCAGCACCTATAATCTCCTGGAAACATACTGATCTCTTCCTCGTCTTGCATACCTTTCAGCAGATTACGTCCAGTCCAGCGTCGAATACGGTCTATAGCTCCGCGAGCGGTGACAAGTTACAACAAGGCTGCTGACAGTGACTACTGAAATGGACAGGCACCCCAGCGGTATTCCTGGCTTGTATGAGAAGTAAAGGAATGTAAAGAATGCCAAGTACTTCCCTTTGAACTATAACAGTAAGACTATCTTCACAGGCGGCAAAACGACGTCTGAAGTGCGAGTATTCTACTAGTATCTAGCACTGACGAAGCTGTTTTTTTTGGAGTATGGACCCATTGAGGAGAAACAGACGGTGCTTTGTTCAGGGCAAGGGAAAATAGCACTTGTGATAAATGACCTCCTTTGAAAAAATACAACGAGGAGCAGGCCCTGGTGCAATGAAGAGAGGTGAATTAAATCCCCTGAATCAACAACGATTTTCTGTCAACGGGTGAAAATACAGGATATCTACAGCTAAGAGGTATACAAGGTTCGATTATAAAAGGCACTAGTGGGAGTGGCATTTCCCTTTTACCTGGTCTGACCATATCGTGACATTTTTATTGATGCCGTCAGATTCGCCAATCTTTGTGGCTATCATGGTGCTAGCAAAATAGTGTCTGAGAAAGTCTTGCAGGGAAAAAAAGATTTTATTGAGAAATATTAACGAGTAGTAATCAAAATCATTCGTCAAGTATGAGATGGAAAAGACTGATTTATTGTACATCCGAATGGTAACCGAAATCTTCATTTTGGTAGTTTGAACCACAACGGTCGTCCTGCTCCCCTGACCACAGACGAGCTGACCACGTGCGCCCAATTTTCTTTATTGCCTTTCCAATATCAAGGAGACGCCATTAACTCACCTTAATAGTAGTGCAAGTCGAAACCTTGGTGCACGCGGTCGTTCCCTTCTGCCGAGTTGTTTCTTTTCAGTTGCGTACAACCATGTTCTGATTACTTCGCAATTATACCCCTCATATTGCCGTTGACAGTATTCCTTTCAAATTATATCAACGAAACAGATGCTAACCGTGTAGTCCATTTTCGATACTCAAGACGAGGCAGTACTATCAGGCCACACGATGATTGCTCCTACAAAAACGGCGGATAATTATTATATCGTCTGCTGCGGTTTTCGCTTTGGCTTTTTTTTTTTTTTCCTTTCAAAATCCGTTCGCCAGGGGGGCAATTTTAGCTACTTTCTGCTTTTCAGTCCCACAACCTCCCTGTCGATAAGAATTTTTCCCGTACCGAAGCTTTTGCAGTCGCGGGTGTTGTGACGGATGTAGCGGGAGTTCTCTTTTTCGTTTCATGTCATTCTGACTGGCTTAGACTACCGCTGCCCTTTCGTATCTCGTCTAATTTGTTGTTCAGAATTTTATGATGGGATGCTCCATCTTTATTTGCGTGACATACAAGGCCGGTGTTAGACTGCAACGGCTACGGTGATGCAGCATTTGGTGATATCAAGGGAGTAGATGGGTTGACAGGCCTTGGGACTCGTGTGAAATGATGACGGCCATATTCTTTCTATCACTCTTTGCGGCGTAAGTTTGTGTGGCCACTCTCGGAACCTCGCATGTTAATAATACTCTTTTCAATAGAATCATTTCTTTTTATTTTGTCCTCGCAAACGGAATTTGGCTTCTCTGGCGGTACATGAAAGAAAACTGATAAGAAACCAAAGTTCCGGCTTCGTACGATCTCTACAGCGTTGGACATGTTTCAGCAGCAACGGAAAAGTGAGAGCGTGACAGATTGATCACAAAAGGAGGTGGGGTGGATAATTACGGAGCGTCTCAAGGGCTTGACGGGATGGGTGCAGACGAATATCAAGATGGCGGACAGACTCAATCGGATACTTTAAAGCCGTGAATGCGTTTAGAGAATGCCTTCCCTACGTGATGAGAATGTAAAGAGTGTGTTGAAAGTGCCGGCCCGACCGACACACGGCCGATTGGGCATTCCAAAATAGCGCTCGTGTTGTGCCGTGGCGGTTGTGAGCGCATCCAGGTTGTCGCCATGGAAAGGGTATGTAGAGCCAACAACAACCGGCGCAGTTCCTATAGCAGGTCTATCAACCACCCTGCACAACGGCCGGATGTAAGCCGGGGAGGTGTCAAGAGTAAACTGTGTGGGCAACAAGATGCCCAGTGTCAGAGTGGTTGGGTTACTAGCAGAGTGACTAGGGAGATGTGGCAGAGAGCCTCGCTACGAGTGAGCTATTAAGAAAGGTTATGATTATAATTATACTAATCTTTAAACCTCTAATTATACACTTTATCAAGTTTCCCTTTTATATCTCCCCATAACCTCGTGATTAGGCATAATCAAGGCATAGCTTTAGTGTTATATGATACACTTAATTGGTCCTTGAGGGTCCGTGCGCTGGTTCCCCGCTATTGGTCCCTGACCCCCAGACAGAGCCTCATGTCGTCTGCGAGGCCATGAACATGTTGTTCCTGACAAAATGCATTCTCGTTGACGAGACATGAATAGAAGTCGCCGACCCCTCCCGGCCCATCACCCGGGAAAAGGTCAAGCCCGGCTTTACAGCAGGGAGGTTTGCTGTGCAACTGCTGTCCGGTCTCTCATCCACATCATCTCGGGTCAGGGTTGCCCAACTCTGGCCGCATCACGCCGTCAACCGTCACAGCCAATCGGGGCTCCGAGTCGACCCCCAAAAGTCCGTCCCAACAATTCGGGCGGCGCGGGCGGAAGGGTATCCACCGCAATCCGGCTCAGCCGCAATTTAAGGGGAGGGCCCTGTTTGAGTGACGCGGATCCGCGACGCCAACCTCGGCACGGGCGACGCCAGGCTTACTCAACAAGTCGACAGCTGCGCAACTTTGCACAGCTGCGTGCCTGGATGAGTGGGCCGGGCTTTTTCCCGCTCCTTTGCGAATTCTACGCCCCATGAATTTTTCTGCATCTTTCACATTCACACATCTACCCATTCCCTTCTCAGCTCTCGCTGTCCTTACATCACCGCCGCCCTGCGACCCCGCCCATTTCGGGAGGTTTGCCATCTCTCCTTGGTCAGGCCCCTCCCCCCCTGACCTCGCCCCTCAAAACACCACAACCTCGCGTCGCAAAAAGATCACGACCTCGCGAACCCATGGCATCGGCTTCCAGCAAGGTCGGTGGCCTCGCCGTGGCCATCCGCGTCATCGTTCCCCTGGCGCTGGGGTCCGCCGGCTACGCCGCCTACAAGATCGACTGGTCCGTCGCCATCCACAACTTCCTGACCGGGCCGGGGCGCAGCTCGCGCATCCTCCTGCTGCTCTTTGTCGCGCTCAACTGGAAGAACCTGCCATTTGCATGGACGGTATGAGAGCTCCCCCCCCCTGTCCTTCCCTCTCCCCATCTGCCCCGTCAAGACGCAAATATGTCTTCTAACGTCAAGCGCCCCAGTACCGCGTCTTCTACGCCATCGTCTACCACAACATGCTCCGCAAGTCGCCCGACCTCACGCCGCGGGCGCTCTTCAAGCCGCTCATCTCGGAGACACGGGCGCCGCTCCTCGAAATCGACTACAACCTGCACAAGTCCAACTCGACCTACTTCACGGACCTGGACGTGGCGCGCACGCACCTCGTCAGCTACCTCGCGCGGCCGGCCATGCGCAGCCTCACGTACAACGCGCGGACGGGCCTGGTGCTGGACCCCAAGACGGGCCGGCCGGCGCGCGGGCCCATGGGCATCATGCTCGGCTCCGTGGCGTGCTCCTTCAAGAGGGAGATACGCGCCTACCGCGCCTACGAGCTGTGGAGCAGGGTGCTCGCCTGGGACCGGAAGTGGCTGTACATGGTGACGCACTTTGTGCCCCGGGGCACGGCCAAGCCCACCGAGTGGCTGGACCCGCGCTTCGGACGCGTGCGCACGAGGACCGGCGCCGACGCCTCGGCCGGCTGGGAGGCCAGCATCCACGCCTCGGCCGTGAGCAAGTACGTCTTCAAGCTGGGCCGCTTCACCGTCCACCCGGCCATTGTGCTGCAGGAGTCGGGCCTGCTGCCGGACCGCCCGGGCGGCTGGATGAGCGGCGACAACCAGGTCGGCGACGAGGCGGCCGACCTGGGCCACGTCGACCTCGCCGTCGACGGGGAGTGGGACTGGGCGCGCGTCGAGGCCCAGAGGCGCCGCGGCATCGAGTTCGCCGCCCACTTTGCCAAGCTGGACGAGTGCCACGGCCTGTTTGATGGCGGCACGCACGGCGCCCTGGCAAAGGTTGGGCCGTGCTAGGGGGGTTGCCCCGTGAGGGCGCGCGGGAAACCAGCCGAGGTGTTTGCTTTGCGGGCGTCTTTGTTGTTGTCCATTTTCATAGAATAGACAGCCGGTCAGACTCGATATATAAACTAAAAACGTCCGGCACAACCCGACCGGTGGCTATATAAACAGCCTCAGTCGGCACGATATCCACGACGACCTTTTTCCTTTCTCAACAGAAGAAGCACCCCGGGAGATGGAGCTGATTCGAAAACAAAAACCCACCTGTAATGTTCTGCAAGTCGCACCCAGCCTGGACCAGGCACGGCGCCACCGTTCTGATGATGGGCTCGATGTTGTCGCACTGGCACTCGACGTCGACCAGCGAGCAATTGTGCCTCGACCCGCCGTCAGCGAGACACAGCAGCAGCCTCTGCAGCGAGGCCAGGTCCAACGCCGCTGCCGACGCGGCCAGGAGCCACGGGAGGCGAAGGAGAGTCAGCTTCATCGCGCCAACGGCGTGTTTGCTTTAACGAAGAAGAAAAATAGATTCCCCGTCTCGAATCCGTCGACTGACAAGAGGTTGATTGCGTATCATTAAAGTAGCATTGGACAAGAAGTACTCCGCACTCCGTAGCGAACAGAGAAACCCCAGGTGCCATGCATATACATGCACGACGGCCCACACAACATCCCCCTCCCCCGACCCAACAGGTAGCGCATGGCAGCAATCCCCGGACGCACCCATGCCCCCGACTCCGATGCTTCCATGTCAATTCTTATGGTGGGCTCTGGTGAAGACTACTCTGCAAAAGCCCTCAAGTGCTCTGCTGGAAACATGCGTCGTCGGCGGGTCTCGTTCTACAAGGCGAGGGGCTCTCGGCACAGCTCGGCGCACATGGAAACAAGTCGTCTGCAACACTGTTCTGAGCACAAGCAGCGTCGGATCGACAGGACATCTCAAGTGCATCTGGAGGAACACACTTTCGCCAAACGGGGCGATGCGAGCCACCATGCAGAAAACCCAATGCATGGTTGATATGGAGTATGTAGTTCCATGTCGATCTGATTCCCGCACACGGAATCATGCGTGTGTAGTGTTGCGCTCCCAACCCTGTCCGTGATATCCTATGCAAGGTCCAATTCTCTGATGCACGCCTACCGCTAGCACCCCATGCGACCTGTCATCGGGTACATGGCACTAACTTGCCTGTTCACGAGGCTTGTAGTCGACTTCAGAGACCCTCGCTGCCCTTGTTACGAGGCGCTTCCGTGTCTGTCGTCGCACTCGACACTGCTGGTTTTGTATACGATTCTACAATGGTTCAACAAGGCCATCTGTCAGGATCGAGTTGTCCAATGTGACGGTGCCCCCCCAACGCAAACTCACTGGATGGCTTCAGAGAAAACAAAGCACCAAAGCGACACTTCATAGTCGGTTGCTCAAATCTAAAAATATATATATTCATGCTATGTACTCATCATCACAAGATACATTTTTTACATCCCTTAGTTGATAGCCATCTGCAGATGCTGGGCCTCCCAGTTCAGGCTGTGTGCAATGGGAGTCTTGTCCACGGCCTCGGACATCCTTGGGGGACGACGGGCACTCAGAGCAGGAGCAACGGGGCTTCTGCGATTCGCCTTCGACCCGGCAATACCGCCGTGGGCGCACTTGGCGCCGTTGAAGGCAGCGTTGGCAGCAGACTTCCACACCTCGGTGACGTCGGAAATCATGGGCGCCGTCCAGTACAGGCGGCAGTCGGCCTCTTCGGCGATGTACTGGGCGGGAACGCCGTCGTTGACGTTGTCGCGGAGGATCTGGTCTCGGACATTGACGGCAGAGCCAGTGGATCGCTGCATGGGCAAGGCCGTGAAGCGCTGTAGTTCGGCCTTGGTCCCGGTGTCATTGGTGAGCTGAGAAAGGTAGTTGGCGTAGGTGTAAATGTTGAGGAGGTTGAGGACCTGCGATCCCTTGACGCCACCGACACCCTGGATGGGACCCTGCTTGGGGCGGCCACCCATGGCGACAGACTTGACGCCGCCCTGGAGCCGGAGCATTTCGGATGCCAGAGTGCACGTGGAGGAACAGGCGCCATCGTAAAGAATGATGATGTCTTCGGCCTTGAATGGCTGGGAGAGGTTGGCGCGTGTGCCGTAGCCCGAGATCTCGATGCCGATGCCATATGTCGTGTTGGTGGTGGTCAGGGGGTCGCTGAGGTTCCATCGCATCAGGTTGGTGTAGTCGGTGTGCTTGTAGACATGAGGGTGGAATTTGTCCTCAAAGGTGGCAAAGTTCTCGTTGGTAATGTTCATGTCATATCTGTAGTTCCACCATGTCTGATACAACTCGATGAGGTCGCTATTCGTTTCAGTGGCGGGATTCACATCCTTGACGGCATCGGAGATGAGACGAGCCATGGCTGCGAAGCTCTTGCTCTGCTTCCAGCGAGAGTTGCCGTCCTGCACGACAGAAGGGAACAGCTGGCGGAAGAAGTCATAGCCGAGAAGAATGTAGCCGCCGCCGTTGTTCTGGAAATCGACAACGAGCTTGGTCTTACCAGCAGCTTTGGCCTCGCGCAGAAAGTCGCTGACAACAGCCTGAAACTCGGCAGGACTCCTGGGCTCGAACGACATCAGATAGATGACGGCGACGTCATCAAGGCCAGTGCCGTTGAGGTAGTAGCCAGAGACGACACCGTCGGAGGAGGCAATGACGGGCTTGGGATAGCCAGGGATGGCCACGCCGGGGAGGGCAGCGGCAGAAGCTGAATTAGACCGAAGGGGCACGGGCGTACAGAACTTCTTGTACATGGAGGGGCCGTCAACAACTTCAGTCATGTCGCCGACAACAGTGGCCTTGTTCTCAATCTCCACGGTTGTGCCATTGGCGTAGGTAAGTTTGGTGCTATGACCGTGGTAAAACATGGCACTGCGGCCACCGGAAATGAAATTGCCGACTCCGCCGTTGGCGGCGGTGGACTTGGACCAGAACATGGTGTTGTAGGATGAGTCGACATCCTGAAGGTAACTGGCAGCATTGACAGTATCCTCAATGTACTTGGCGGCGTCAATACCGTTGATTCTGGTGATGGCCTGCGCCGTCTTGGGGTTGGCAACCACGTCGGCTGGAGGGTTTGTTTGTTAGCCCCTTCAAATGGGCAACTGAGAGATAATTCGGGATGCCCACGACTTACCCTGAAGTTTGATGACAGGCAGCGACTGGCCGTCCTCACTAATAGAGACAATGGGAGGAACAGCACGCCTCCACTTGAAGGCTCTAGCCAACAGGTCGGGGTAAAAAACGTAGTGGCCGTCCTGGCCGGGGGCCCAAACCTGCTTGTAGAGGTCGGTCTGGAAATCGAACTCGCCAGCATATTTGCCAGCCTCGACATTGGACCGGACCCTGGCCAGGTTGCCGAAGATGTCAAACCCAGGATAGAAGTAGGACTTGGGAGGATCCTTCTTGTAAGCGGCGTCACTCTGCCACTCAAGGTAGGGCTCGATGGCGTCAATCAGCTGGATTGCCTCATACTTGCCCAAGGGAACGGTTTTGAGACACTCGTGGGCCAATGACGCGGCCACAGTGGGGACAGCTAAGCAACCGGGAAGTCTGTTAGTAAGCTTCCGTGCCTTGTCTTGAACCATAAACTTTGCCCATCTTTTAACCAGCCCATCATCTGGGCGCGGCAATTTGCGACCCTGCCACCAAGCGCGCCATATTCAAACGTACCTCTCGTCTTCCTCTGCTCTGCCCATGACGCGCTAACCTGGGCGCAGGGGTGTCCGGTGGCTGTTGAGGTTGGCGTCGTGGTGGGAGCCGTCGAAGTGGGAGGCGTGGGAGTTGATGTGGTCGAAGGCCCGGGTGCGATGCAAGAGCAAGCGCTGGAGATTCTCAGGGCCATGGGACCATTCATGTTGTCCTTGCAGCCATCCGCGGCATACGATGGAACCGCCGTCGGGGCAACAGTACCAGTCGCCTTGGTGTATGTGGCACAGAATGCCTTTGCACTCTCGAGACGTCCGGGGATCTGTGTCGCCCTCATTGCTCGCAGACAATTATCGGCATTGCAGCCATCGGCAGCCGCCAACTCTGCCGTGCCGGCAAGAAGAGCCGCACCAACAATGGTGTTGCCGCGCATTGTGGGCAAGGGGTTGTCTTGGATGATCGCGAATTCGCGATAGCCGAGCCTGACAGAGCGCCTAATGTCTCGGGCCAAGCAGATCTAGGGAGCCAAGGAAGATTCAGGCAGATGGATTTATCAAAACGACGACGATGATGATGGGAGCAACGCCAATATTTATCTATCCCCAGCCCGGAACAACGGCCTCGCCTCCCCCTCTCCTAATTTATTGGAGATAATCATCCGAAAGGACCGCACGGACAGTTTTGTGACGGACCTCCGCGCAGAACCTGCACGAGGACCCTGGACAGCATGTAGCTACACCCCAAGCTCTGTCAATACCCGGTACCTTAGAAAGCCATGGGCGAAGTCTGTGTCACGCCAAGGTTCCGTTGCTTGGTTTGCTCAGAAGGGCAGGTCCCTTTTGCACCTGGTCTCGTCAACGCCAGGCCATGGAGGGGGCTCGGGCTGACGGGTACCAAGGAGATAACGACTCGACGCCAAAAAAAAAAGTACATTGGCACGTTGCGTCTAGCAAACCGATGAAGCGAATTGGCGCAATCTTGATGACGGCTCAAGCGCGGGCCTAGGCCCGGAGCTAAAGATGCCCGGTCCAGAAAACATGATTGATGTGGGGAGGAGTTGGAGTCGACCTGAGCACAACATCAAAGAGCGACAGGGCATCCCTCAGATTGGGTTCGCGTGGCTCCTCTGACCTGCTCTCCATGGTAGGTGGGTAGTATCCCGGCCTTGCAGCTCTGCATGTTGAGTGTTGTTGCATGTGGCTGTCAGCCCGGAGCCGTGGGCTGGAAGAAGCAGACATGCTGGTCTACTCCCGCTCGGTTGGCCCGAATTTTCAAGAAAAAAAGAATGTGCCTTTGATCATATCAATAACAGGCATTGCGGCACCTCGCATCGTCATCATCATCATCACCATAGAAGCCGGGGCATAGCGCTCGAACCATTGGGGTAGGATTGGCGCGAACCGGGGCCCAACTATGAAGCAACCCGATCAAACAAACTCGGCTCATGTGTCATGACAAGCTATTCTTATCGGCCGCAAGATGCCCGCCTTTGCACCAAGTCTCGGTAGTGGACCGAGCGGATTCCGGGGACATGTCAACTGGTTTGCCTTGGCATAGTAGATGCACCAATTGCCGACACGGGAAGGTCAAAGGGGATCATGAGGCCTCAACTTATAACCAGCATGCGTTCCCCGGATGGAGTCTTTCTGCAATAGCCAGCTGGAGATTTAACGAAGACAAAAGTCCCAAAGTCCCGCCGGTTTCGATGGTCAACCGGTGCTAGTACCAGCTCGCGGCTCCAGCCGTGGGAGGCAAGACGGCTCAACGTGGAGCCTTGAAGACTACAACATGGGAAAAGAATCTAGAACGAATAATATAGCCCATCTTGCATGTCCCCGGCTGACACCTTGTGTCCGACTAACCGTATCTCCAGCCGGCATGGCTCACCTGCCGCGACAGGACACCACCTCCGCATACTGGGTGCGCCGAGAAATGGAGGACGTACCGTGTGAGGGGGGGCGGCGCAAAGAAAGGGTCAACTGGTCGGTCATATTGATTGGATTAATCGGCCTCCCAGCCCTCGTGTGCACATGATGCTCTCTCCATGACGTGGTCATGTCCCCAGGCTAACCAATGCCAGCAGCAAAGATCCGCGCAGCGGCCATTGACAACAAAAACGGCAGCACGCGTTGGACCAAACGGGGCAAGCAATCGATCTGATGTTCCACGATGCAGAAATTGGGGCAAGGTTTCTCCATGACTCCGTGGTGTGATTGGAGACTGCAACCCTGGCCGTTCCGATAACCGGGGCCAGGGTCACAATCATGTCCTTTTCATCAATTGAACGAGCAGTTACCGCGCCCAACACCTGCTCAAGAAAATATGGGGGAAAAAAAATGAAAAAAATGAAAAAATAAAAAACGAAAAAATAAAAAAGAACCTCGAACCGAACAGCAAGTATCGGCATGTGAGGTATTTTGGGCCCTTTTGAATATTTTGCCGCCTGTGGCGAAGCGTATTCCAAATCGTCCGAACTTGACAGCTGGGCTCGAGCCTCCAACAGGGGCACTGACCGAATTGCCAAGAGCTTTGTACAAGATGAAACTCCGCTAGTAGACTTGTTTTTTCTTTTGTTTTGGCCTTTCGGAACATGCAATTGCACATCCAGAGGCAATCCACGATGCCGTCAATTGGCTGCTGCGAAGTTGGCGCCGGGCTTCTTTGCGGACCTTGTTAACCCAGGCCTTGTTCCTGGGAACCTGCAGATTAAAGGTACCCCGCAGACACTTGGCTGTCTCAAGTTACCAGAGACTCCTATAACGCTAGCCAGCTGCCAAGATGATTTGCGTTGATATGATTGAGGCCTCGTATTAAGGCTGTTCGCCAGCGTCCGAGGGGCCAGGATGATGGAGCACCAGGGAGTCGGCAACTGTAATTTGCAAGGGCGAGCCATCGCAATAGTAACCATGGCTCTTGCTTATGAGACTGACCAGACTCTTTAGTTATCGACGAGCTGTCGTCGCCTTTGGTAGTCGAGTCTAGCAAATCATCAGAATACAAAGCAGTCGTTCTTGACTATCATTTCCAACCACAGAGTTCGTCGATTTGCAGGCAGGCCGCAGTATTATGTGCCCTGTCTCATGCTGGAGATTGCGTGCTGATTGTCGGCAAATCACTAGAGAGTTCCTGAGCCGAATAATCTGTGCGGCATCGGCAACGACGCCGTGCTACGTGCCGCTCGGGTAGGGCAGAATGTATCGCCATACTGAAACAAAGAACACGCAGGAGAAGGGGAAATCTCCTCGTAGATAGTGTCACGGTGGATGCGGGTGCCGATCTTCTCCACCAAGACTAATACATACCAGATAAGCCTTGACTGAGCCTCCAACAAATCGGCTTGCTCCCCAAGGGCCGTCAAGAATTCTCCCCTTGGGGCATCCACTTGTCAAACCGCCTACTACACGGTAAGGACCACGCTTCCAAGCGTATTATCCGACGTGCCGGCATCGGGCAGGATACCCATATGAGATGGCCTTTTGTAAGTACTACTAGACCGTGTTCGCTGGTACGCCGGCTTAAGCCTAGGTTTGGGCCCGAGGAAGGGCAGGTGCAAGGAGCCGGCTAGGCATAAATTACACAGCCAGAAAGCTCTCTATGTTGACGGGTATTCAAACTTGTCGTAGTGTCCGGCGCCGTGAGCACACCTGTCGAGCCGATTTCAAATCTCCTGGCTGGTCTCAGCTACATATATCTGGCTGCTCCAGCACTATATGATAAAACTAGACGCTGGGACGGGGATCTCTCATATCTCATACTCGACTCTTATGCTTAATGAGGTTTGTTCTTGAAGAAAAGCTCTTGTCGCCCCAATACCTCTCTTGACGACCAAAAATTCAGCGTTGAGCCTTGATTTCATTTCTCCCTGAACAAAAGTGTCAGAGGCCACAGTGAGAGAGAGAGAGCCAATATGTACTTACCTCAAAGTTAAATATCAAGGATACTCGTCCAAGGGCCGCTATTACTATGTATATCTTTTTACTTCCATGGCCTAGTGGTTTAACCCGATACCAGTCTGACACAAAGTTTGCTTCAGCTCCTCCATTCTCTCGAATCATCAATGACAGCGGGTAAACTTGCCGAAAAACGCTCAACTGGTACAGTATTCATTTCTCGCAGGCACTCAAGCCTATCAGCCTACCCTTGCTGTATTTATACACAATCAATTTCAGCTGATGCATTTATGGTCCATTATACGCTAACCACAGGGATTTATAACGTTCATCTTCGTTATCAGGGTGGCTGTTCGCCTTCCAAAATCCGATACCTATATCGGTTCCAGGGAAGTAAATAGACGAGCTATGATGCGACATTGCTTAGAGCATCCTAATCTGGCCGTAAGTTGTCGGTAATCAGACGGTGCGTGATGTGAGCAAACGTCCTCAGGTCCCCAAGACACGAGGGAGTTGTGTAGTCTAGGATTCGCAAACAGCACTTTCACTTGTTGATTTTTTTTAGACCAGCTGTGGCACAGGGCAAGAGTGTACACCCCTACATGTTATATCCCGTAGCAGCTAAAACATTACATATTTATTCCAACACCACTAGACCTGGGTGCAGGGGCCTGTCGACTCGTACCCGTGTTGATGCATTGCTTTGTCGACGGCGGCACACTACGCTTTTGACGAGCTACTTAACCTTGTAAGCTGGATCTCGCCGCGGGTACGTTATTAAGTGATACAGCGGACTCACCCGAGACACGATGGACACCCACGTGGTGAAACCCCTGCGCTCGTGTCTCAACGCCATTGAATCGCTCTTCAGGCACCAGAGTTACCAAGCCGAGCTGGCGTCATGCATTGGATCTTTGGACATGCCATGGCCGTATTGAACGACGGAGGTGAAAGCTGTAGACAAGGTCAAAGGAATTTTTCCACTCGGTGGTTATATGCTAACCGGCAGTCATTTTATACGGGCCCGGCGTTTTAACTAACCTGTAGCCTTTCGAATGTGTAACAAGCCTGCCGCGACGCAAGTACGAGGACTAGACGAGCGGTAAATGGCCTCTTCGAAAAAGTCACCCCCAGAGACGAGTACCAAGATTCCATATTGTGCTGTTCTCATGTTCGGCGCTAATTGTACACCACCTCGCCTCGAGATGTCGGGTTCAGCACCGTGGAAATACCAGTGGTACTTGTGACAAACCACCGAGAGCTGGCACAAAGGCGAACTGATTGCTACCGAGTCTAAAGGGCAATATCCCTAGAAAACTTGTGCTTCGAGCTGTACGTCAGAGGAAGAGAGACACAACCGCGTTGCTAGCAGGTGTGTGAGTAATAGCCGATGCAGAAATTCAATTCTAGCCGCAGCCAAAGCGATCGTATGGGCAGTCCCCAATTCTACCATCTATCCATCCCAAACGGCAGGCAAAAGTACCAAGTATCACATCCCCATTGTAGCGTACAAGCTTTTTTTCCTTTCTTTATTTTGTCTTTTCTTTTTCGCAGTAAACAGATTCTATCTTGTAATTGCAAGTTTCCCGCCCCCGCTGTATTAGACCAAAAACTCCTCCTCGGCAAAGTGTTTCAGCACGATCCACCCTTCGTCAAACGCCTTCTTTTCAATGCGCACAATAATGGCCGCATGGCTGTGTCTATGGTTGTGGATCCAGACGGGGTACTTCCTCCACTTTAGCGTGTCCAGTGACCGAATCATTTCAAACTGGTGCGGCGTCAGCGCAAGCGTCGGCTGGGTTGGCGTGGACAGCCTTCTCTCGCGCTGTATCAGCCTTCTGTCTTCTGGGCTCATGGCGTCGACGTCGTCCTCGTCCTCGGTGGCCAGGTACTCTTGGTTCTGGGAGCTGTTGAGTGCCTCGTACGTGTTTTCGACTTCTTCACGAAGCTCCTTGATGAAGACGGGGACGCGGTACCCATCTATGCTGACGCCTGCCTGGCCCTGCTCGTAGAGCCGGATCCGCTTTGAGCTACGAATGTTTTGGATGACGGAGTTGCAGAGGTAGGCGAGGACGCCGATGGGGACGAAAACGGCGACCGAGATCATGAAAGGGATGCGTTTGATCCAGTCGACGATGGAGCCCGTCACGGAGGAGATGGTGGCTGGGCCGCGGAGTTTGGGCGACGGTTGGACCGGGTTGGCGGGATCGAGGAGGACCCCATTGTAGCCCTTGAGGTAGTTTACCTTGACCGTGTCCAGCTTGCGGTACGGGTCGGTCTTTGTGATGCCGGTGGTGTAGTAGACGGCACTCCGGTCGTTGATGATGTTGGTGTACAGGGTGTGGCGTCTGAACTTGCGCAGGCCCAGCATGAAGATGGAGGTTGGTTCTGCCAGGACGGAGAGCAGCGGGCGGCCAGTGTCGCGAAAGTTGTCAATGGTGAACAACTGTCTTCCAGACATGGATAGAGTGCGGGCTCCCATGACGTTCCAGATGTGGTTGTGCCAGCCCTTGAGGGGTGTGCGAACCCCGAGATGGGGTGAGGCAAACGTGGCGAAGTTCTGTATAAAAGCGTCAGATGGGTTTGTTGAAGAGGGATGGGGGAGAGGTAGCATAAGAACAACAACCATGGAAGCATAATTACCATGCATTCAAGCTGGTCCAAGATGCCCTTGGCATACAACAAGCCAATAGCATAGCGGCAGACCAGCCCTCCGAGAGAATATCCAACGATGCTGATCTTGGTGATCTTGCCGCCGCTGTCCTCAACGGCGCGCAACTCCTCCTCAATCTCGGAACAGATGCGCTCGCCACCGCGCTCAATGCCATCATAGGTAAAGCTGCCAATGTTGCGCTTTGCAAACAACAAGCGCAGCTCGCTCGAGGGATACAGGCTGCGCAGGCTCTTGGCGACATTTCTCATATGATCAGGGTTTCCCCATAACTGCAACGGAGCGCGTAAGCGTTCGCTCAAGCAAACATTGAAGGCGTCGAGGGGCACCAGACGGCACAAGTACAACGCGGCGGCGTAGGGACCTTACCCCGTGAACAAGCACACACAGGTGGTCGGCAGAGGGAGTGCCGCCCTCGTACTTGGGATAGGTCGGAGGCGGCATGGCGATGGGCGGCAGCCCCTGAAGGGCTTGAAGGGAAGGGCCCGCGATGCGGTGTCGGACGTAGGCAGAGGCAGCTTGAGCTTGGGGCGACGACCAGACTCTGAGGGCTGGTCTAAAAGAAGCCCAAAGCGACGACCAGAGCACCATGCAAGGCAGTCTTGCGTAAGGACAACATCTGAAGGGTCGGGGATGTCGCGCGTTGATGACACACCTTTGGAGACGGAGGATGACAGATTGGCTGCCATGTGGTCAATGGTCAGTCAAGTGGCCGAGGCTCAACATGCTCCAGTCATGAATCGATGGGGCCTGGCGGACATCTGGCATCGGGAGCCAAGGGTTCAACACCTTCAATGTTGTGTGACCAGACGGCACTAGGGAGCGGGCCCTGCTCAACAAAAGTCAAGTCTGGTCTGGTTGCACCGAGTGGAAGAGCCCAGCTGGTGGTGCCTTTTTAAGGCCTCTTGGAACTGCCGGTTCGCAACATTTGAACCTAATTAGCCCACTACTGCGCTCCGCTGGTCTGTGCGCCGCGCGGCACAAACCGCCAAGCATTGAACCGATTGACGTAGGTTTGACGAGCATCGCCAACTCAACTCAATATACTTACGCGCCTAGCATCGCCCGCGCCGCATGTGTTCCACCCATGATTGTCCCCAGTCTCTCAAACTTGATAGCATACTCAAGTGCGCCTCGCGCCAACTCTCATGGCCTAGTGTCACTACACGCCATTAGTCCTCTGCGAGCTGCTCCTCGCAACCAACATCATGAGCTTCTCCCTCAGGCACATACCATGCCCTGCCGGCAAGAACTGCACCGCATTCCAGTGCATCTTCGGCCACGGCGAGGACAACGCCACAGAGGCCAAAGTTCAGCCAACACCACCAAGCTCGTCTCGAAACGGCTCATCATCCATCTCTCGTGACCGCTCGCCTCCCTACCAAGGAGCACCCAGTAAACGCATCAAAGTAGAACAAAAGAATGACTCTGCCCCATCTCAACCACCTTCCAAAGCAAACACTTCACACGGCAACGCCAGCAAAGACCACAGCCTCAACACCACGCCTCGCAGTGTCACTCGGCCCGTTTCACCGCCACCTCTTCAGCGGAACACCAGAACACCCGACACAAAGGCGAGGCCGTCTTCTTCAACGCCAAAAAAGACATCTTCTACCAAGGATTCAAAGTCGCCTGTGCCCTCCAGCGGTAAAACCGTGGCGAAGGCGGATTGTCAATCGACCAAACAGAGGAAGCCTGAATCCCTCAATCCACGGCTTCTCAAGAGCTCGCCAGCAAGCCATGAGACTCGACTGAAACTTCTCAAGATGTTACACCACCAATATAATCGGCTCAATGAGGCGCTGAGAATGGCCGCCATGAAACCGGCTGAAACCTCGCTCATCATGTCCCCGCAGGGCCTGATTTTCAGAGCGTTGGACGACGAGGAGGAAACGGCGTTGGAGAAGCCGGCCGTCTATACGAATGTTATGAAGAACAAGATCATGCAGCACAAGAAGATGAATGTGGCTCAATGGAAGGAGCTACGCGTCAAGGAGGCTCCTCGACCCAAGGAGCAGAATGGAGGGAATATACCAAAAGAGATTAATACAGGGTTAACGGCCGCGCAGGAAGTGGAACTGCTGAAGAGGATCGTTACAAGAGTGGACGATCACTCCAACCACGGCTACGTGTCTTCGGTCCCAGCCGAGGACGCTGTGGAATCAGCCCGGGCGGGACTGGAGGCCGCCAAGGGATGGGAGAAGTGCGACCGATGCCAGCAACGCTTCCAGGTCTTCCCGGGAAGAAGGGCGGAAGACGGGGCGCTTGTATCCGGGGGTGCATGCAACTTCCACTGGGGGAAGACGTACGTTCCTGAAAAGGCTCCAGGCGATACAACCAGGATCCCAAAACGATATCGGTGCTGTGGACAGGAGGTGGGCGATTCGGCAGGCTGTGCCACCCACGACAAGCACGTCTTCAAAGTAGGCGACCCCAAGCGGCTGGCGGCGGTGCTCAACTACGCATTTACACCAGATAACCCTGGCATCCCCAAGGACAGAGCTGTTTGCTTTGACTGCGAGATGGGGTATACCGTCCACGGAATGGAGCTCATTCGCCTCACCGCAACGTCGTGGCCACTGGGCGAGGAGCTCCTCGACGTGTTGGTCCAGCCGATTGGTGAAATACTAGATCTCAACTCTCGCTATTCCGGCGTGTGGCCAGACGACTTAGCAAACGCCAAACCGTGGGTGCCAGACGACGCGACACCGTCCAAGTCAAAAATTCGGACTAGTGCGGTGCACGAGTCAAAGTCCAAGGATCTCAAAATAGTCTCATCTCCGGAAGTTGCCCGCGATCTCTTGTTCTCGCTGATATCTCCGTCGACACCCCTGATCGGCCACGGCTTGGAAAACGACCTGAACGCAGTGAGAATCGTTCACCCTACTCTTATAGACACGGTGTTGTTGTACCCCCACAAACTCGGCTTACCATACCGCCATGGCTTGAAGATGCTCATGGATGTACACTTGAACAAGAAGATTCAGCAGGATACGGGGCCAAAAGCTCTGGGTCACGATTCTGCAGAGGACGCTAGGGCCGCGGGGGAGCTGGTGCGGTTGAAGATCATGAATGAGTGGAAGGATATGCAGAGGGCGGGATGGACATTAGTGGATGGGCATTTCTGGCCGCCTGGGAAACCGGGCGGGTTAACGGAGGCAGTTATCGAGAAATAAAGGGAGGAGGAAAACGGATCCTTCATATTAAGCGAGCTGTCAGTCCTTTTGCATAGCAGTAAGCCCAATTCACGTAGTAAATATGGATCGGGTTGAAATATATCATCATTGGTATTTTCGAGATATAGAATTACATGGTCGCTACAAAAGCGGAGAAGTTGCCCTCCTCATCCACAGCCTTCTTACACTTCTTAAGCCCGTCCAACAGACAGCAGATACTGTCCTCCATTACCCGACTTCCCCGTGGGCAAATACGCCACGTTGGGATTCGATGACAGTTGCTGCGCAATCTCCCTGCTCGCTTCAATCTTTCGAATCTGCACCAGCCCGTCACCATTCTTGGCAATGGCCTTGCTAATCGTCTCCGCAGACTCGGCTTCGCCCTCGGCTCGGATGACGTTGGCCTGTCTCTCCTGCTCGGCCTTTTCGACAATGAAGCGAGCTCGCTCGGCATCTTGCTGTGCAATCTGCTTCTGCTCAACCGCCTTTGTGAATTCCCGGCCAAACGTCATGTGTGTGATGGACACGTCCTCAAGGGCAATGTTGAACTCGGCGGCGCGGCGCGTGAGTTCTGTGCGAATCTTCTGTGATACGGCTTCTCGCTGGGTGATGAGTTCGGCAGCGTCGAACTGGGCGACGATGGCTTTGAGAACTTCGTTTCCAATGGAGGGCAGAACCCGCTCATCGTAGTCGACGCCGAGGTTCTACAAACGGTTAGCATATCATCGATTGAAAACCGGCTAGTCGTGGGTGATTGTACCTGGTAGATCTTGGGCAGGGCCTTGACGTTCGGTCGGTGCAGCACACGGAGCGTCAAGCTGACCATCTGCAAATCCTTGCTTCCCGTCGTCGTAGCAATATTCCTTGGCTTCGTACGCACATCAAAGATGACGCTTCGCTGCAGCCAGGGCACCAAAAAGTGCGTCCCCTCGTTGATGACATCCTCCTTTACTCCAGATAGCCTGTCGAAGATGACGGCTCTTGTTCCACCCTTGACATCGAAGATGGACTGGCTGACGAGGAATGCGCCCGCCGTGGCCGGCACAGCCAGGCGGTACATGATATTGAGAGCTCTTGCTGCGGCCGCCATTGTGCACAACCCTCAAACTGCGGTGGTGTTATTGGTCTTTTTTTTTCGCTCGGCGATGGGCGGATGTGACGGACTGGCAAAAATGAGGCAGCATCGAGCTTCGTCGTTTCATCCCCAGCTTGCTCCCCCAGCAGGCTGATTTTCGGGACGTGGTTGTGGCGCTAACCCTGTTCGGGTAAGCTCGGGACGACGGGGAAGCGACCTTTCAAGACTTGCAACTCCTTCACCCGTAGCCCGACTTTCGCCTTTCCCTGCCTCACGAACGTCCGATTATCAGGAATCAACGTCACGCAATTCCTCGACATCAGCCACGATGAGACCGACGCAAGCTCTAAACGGCGGTGGTGCTCCTAATTGGAAGGCTGGCCAGTATGTTTTTTGTCCTGCCCTCGGTTGTGTTACTGGTGCGGTGTGCGCCTGCGGCTTTTCCGCGACGGCAAGAAAGTTGTCGGCTTCGCTATTCTGCACGCCTCGATTCATCGACTTCGTTCGCTAACATTTCACTCTCTCTTTTTTTAGCTGGCTGGGTGATTGGGGCTCTTTTGGTGAGTACGATGCCTTTCTTTCGACGGACGATTGTGTAGCCTACGAGGAACGATGAAATCACCGGCTTGTGCTCAGGGAGTTCTGCAGATAGCCAAACGTGATGCGCCAGAATCAACAAAGGGCATATCATTTTGGAGTAGTATATTTTGAGGAGATTGATGGGTCAGAACTGTGGCAATCGGACAACTGGGCTACTTCACAATGACGGAATGAAAGGGGAACACGAAGCATCACGAACCGAGGTTACTAACTCGATACAGGTGGCTCCAAGCAAAAGGGCATCATCCACTACGGCCTTTCTGCCAACAGACAGAACCCCACTGCCGGCATAGTCCACGACGCCTTCTTCAACACGTTCCGCCGTACCAAAGGCCAGATCTTCTACTGGCTCCCTCCTCTGGTTGCTGGATACTACTTGATGCAGTGGGCTACTGAGCGGTTCGTAACCGAACAAGTATGAGAGATTCAGCACGATATTCTAACACAGTAGTAGAAACCACTACCTGCAGTCCAAGGCCGGCCGTGCCGAGTTTGGTGACGATGCCGAGTAAGAAGGGTTGGGCAGGGACAATCGATAAAAAGCATTTGTATATCATAGTCTAGACAGGGGGCCAACAGATATGTAAAGAACATAAATGTGCGGCGAGCGCATGTTTAAATCCATTCCATTTGTTACTACTCATCTGTCTTGGTATGCCATGTGATGCGATGCATTAAATTATCACTATGTACAGCGTACCTAACTACATTCAAGCGACAACAAGTAGTAAGTGACCCTCACGATACTTCATCCAGGTCTCTACAGCGACAAATAAAAAAATACGTCCAAGCTCTTTCCATCAATTGGCTTTACAAGAGCTCACACTCAAATACTTTGTCGTGCCAATCACATATCGCTTATTCTTTTTCAATCCTCACAGGCTAAGTGTAGTCACGTGATTCTACGTCGGAGCCGGCGCCACTAAAAGCCGAAAACTCGGGCCCAGCTCACTCAATTGCCAGTAAAAGTTTCGACTGGCAAGAAAAATTTCGAGGTCTCCAGCCCGTGGAAAGAGGTGCGAAAACCAATTCCGCCCACCTGGTCGACCAAACTCTTCGCCCAATTGGTATTTTTGTTGTTGTTTTTTTTGCTCGCTTTTGAAATATACATTTCATAAGCAGCATCCTTTTAGTATAGCCAAATTTTTGGTATTCCCATATTTGCGAGACTTCATACCAGCACCTTTTTTTTATCCCAGCCGACGCCGAGCCCTGAAGCAGCCATGGCCGCCGAAAGACCCGACAAGAAGGAGAAGAAGGACAAGAAGCGCAGCGAAGAGTCTGGCATAGCCAAGCCCAAGAAGGAGAAGAAGGACAAGAAGGACAAGAAGGAGTCTGGCATAGCCAAGCCCAAGAAGGAGAAGAAGGACAAGAAGGACAAGAAGGAGAGGCTCGCTGCTGCTCTCGACGAGAAGCTGCAGCAGGATGCCGCTGCTCAGAGCAAGGCCGTCAAGGAGGATGATTCCGAGATGGAGGATCAGAGCCCTTCCGAGCTGCCGCTGGAGAGAACGGTCGTGCCATTTGCCGTGCCGCTGGCCGACGAGAAGGGCATGAAGAAGGTGTACAGGACCATCAAGAAGGGTGCGTATAGACCTTGTTCCCCAGGCGAGCAAAAGAGGGGGGTTGCCACCGAAAGACGCCATTGCTAACGATTCGCAGCCGCCAAGAATGGCACGCTCAAGCGCGGCGTCAAGGAAGTCGTCAAGACGCTGCGCAAGTCGCCTGCCGGCGGCCCTGGAAACACTTCTTTCCCCGGCGTCGTCGTCATTGCCGGCGACATTTCTCCCCAGGACGTCATCTCGCACATTCCCGTGCTGTGCGAGGACCACAACGTGCCCTTCATCTTCGTCACGTCGCGAGCCGAGCTGGGCGCCGCCGCCAAGACCAAGCGACCTACCAGCGTGGTCATGGTCATGGAGAAGCACGACGGAAAGAAGAAGGCTGCCGCGAAGGAGGACAAGGAGGAAGACGACGAGTCATTTGGCGAGGCGTACACTTCGTTGGTGAAGCTGGTGCAAAAGGAGTTTTCGAAGCAGTCGTTCTGGACAAAGGGGGAGTCAAAGGCATAGGGAGGTGCTAGGAGAGGAACAAGAAGAAGAAAATCACCATGGCAGCAAGAGGACTGGCAGTTGAAAAGCTCATGTCTACGTGTTGTGGCAAAGTTGAGAGACGGAGGGAGAGTCGCTGGTTTGCCAATTGGGTGGGCTTGTTTGAGGCTTCGGTTTGATCTGGGTGTATAAATACCAGAGGGATTGACTAGCAGGGCCGAATTGGGTTACGGCGGCGTTCAGGTACATTGCATCATCAATTAAAGCATTTCTCAACTTGGTATTGTAATAATTGGTAGCTAGGTCGCAGAACCTTTGGGGCCGTGATGCTTACGTTTGCCCTCCCTCTTGGCAAAGAGGACCTCGGAATAGAGGCGTTGCAACTACGAATACTCGGGCATGAATTCCCAAGACCATCACTTCCCGTGTGCCCAATGCGGCCTGCGCGTCCATTTGCACCGTTCGGCGGATTCACAACGTCATCAGCATCAACACCAGCAGACATCGACACTTCAATCACCGATTCAAGGAGCTGCGTCGCGGCCATATAGAGCTCGACGACACGCAGATTGCCAAAAGTGTAATACAACGATCAATTGAAAAAACTAGGTCCAACAAGAAGCATGTGCCCCCAATACTTCCTTCTGTACCAGCGAACGACAAGAACCGTCCGCACACGATACTCGCCCAGCAATTTGGCCCTTTAGTCAAAGGGGTTAGTACGAGTACCCCACCAAGTCAGGAACAGTGACAATCCAACAGTTTCCACAAGCTTGGCGGCGATGCTGACACCGACGGTATCGATGGGGCGCTTCTCCGAGAAGATTTGGGCAAGGAACTAGGCCGGGTCAGCAACTCGTCACGATGATCTCATCGCCAGGACCGTCCATCTACACCGTTCCTTGTATAGCATGTGGGCGGCGAGAAACGGCACAAAAGACTCAAGGATAGAAGGGGAGGGAAAAAATCAGCATCACCAGAGAACAAAAAAAAACTTACTCCAGGAGCCGCCGTCGCGGCAAAGATCAAGCCGCCCAGGTACGCAGCGCCCTTGTAGCTCAGGGTCCCCGTGGCATTGATCAACGCGCCAACACCATAGCTCTGGAGGGCCGAGCCGACAAAAGAGGTGCCCCAGGCGATGGCAGCGCCGCTGGCTTCCTTGGACTTGATGAACTCCTCCTTGGTGTTGGCCTGCTTGGCGCGCTGGTAGGTCTGGCCGAAGACGGGGCCCAGCACGGCCAGCTCGATGCCGTGGTTGAAGAAGGTGCCCAGCGCGATGGCCGAGGGCTTCACGGGGGGCAGGTCTGCGCACATCAGCATCCCGAAATCTCTGGCGAAGCGGGAGGTGTGGATGGGGGGCGACACGCTTCGCATTTTCTCATATGCTCGCCAAGCTCGGAGACACCTCTCATGATGGCAGCAGAGCTAGCCGGAGCAACGGGAAGGGGAAGGGGAGAAGCAGCGCCTATCGCGACGGCACAACTTACAGTGCAGAGACATGGTCAGTTTCAGCAAGTCTTTTGTTGTCTTTGTGTTTTTGTTTCGACGGCGAAAAGCTTGACGATAATGAAAGGTCCAAGTTCAGTCACACCGACCCGTCAAAGTCCTTCCCCCTCCTTTTAAACCTTAGACAGCCCCGGGCAGGCCCTCCCTTGGTTGCTTCAGCAAATGTTGGCAAATAGGTTTGTCGCAAATCTCGATTGGGCAAAGGCGCATGCACCTTGTGGCTTGATGCTTGATGCTCTGTGAGAAGGGGGGGGTTGTTACGGGCGATGATGTCACCACTTTGTGGGGACTGGTTTCTGGCAAGCTCTACAAACGCACGCCGGCTTTGGAAGGACGACGATGAGCAGACAGTCTGCCGTTTGTAATTCGAGACCCGCCCCTTGCGACTAGCCGTCGGCGAGTAAGCGGCTTGCCACTTAGTTGCCATCGAGTAGTCGGGGTGGGAGCTTGTCCAGCTGTTGCGTTTCCCCAAGTGTGGTTGGCGTGGTTTCGGGGAGGGGAGACAACTTGACCCAGACGTGTCCAATGATCGAGTTCCCTTCGTCTAGGTGAAACCACAGCCCATGTCCAACGTTGCGCGAAATCGCAACTACATAAAAATGCGAGTACAGCCGCGCAGCCGCCGTTCGCCTTGGCAACGGCTGGAATCGCGGCCGCTGCTGCCACCACCGCCACAGCCTGGACCCCCTGGGCAACCCGCGAAACCATGGTTGCCGATGCCCGTCAATTGATCGCCTCATGTGCCGATGACACCATTCGATATGCCCAAGGCCCACCGGCGGCGCAATGCCTGCGGATTTTTCGCTCCACAGCGGCTCCAGGAACAATTTCCACCGGACGCAACTTCCACTCCTCTCTCATGGCTGGGCCCATTGCGTATCAGGCAGGCAATGTTCAAGTCTGTCAGGCCATTCCGGGCAGCATGCTAACTACCTGGGGATGTGGCACTACTACACTCTCTACGTCTTTGGGGATGCACGTCTTCTTGCCAGAATCCATGCGCAAGAGCCTCATACGGGCTTGGACTCTACGTCACAGGTACCAAAAAAGCTTTGTATGACGCGCCACTACAATGCAGTAGGCTATTTGGGTGATGCCATTCATGTCGTGCCTGGCGGCGCGATATGACCTCCTGTCCAAGGTACGGGGACTTAGGAAAGAGAATTAAACTCCAAGAACAAGGATGAACGGTGACTAGCAGAACCCCAATGCAAGGCACGCCAACACATACTAGGAAAGACCAGTTGACACCATATGACACGGAAGTAGGCGCTGAAAATGCTCAAATTCCCATCCGGCTACTACCTGTAGCCGCCTCCCCACCATCAATATCTGCCTCACATGTTCCCTTCAAAGCCCTTCATTAAAACACCGCTCCCCCTCCAGTCTATCTGTACAATGTGGTGACAGAGGTTTGTCTTCGTCAATGCGAGACAATACTTTGTAACAAGGTCCCCCCCCCCTGTACCGACGTGGTTGAGCCCGTCAGTGGCCAAAAAGAAAACAAGAAAAAAAAATCAAATTCGCAGCAGCTCCATTCCATAAATAAACGCCAGATAAGTTTTTTTTTTTCTTTCCCAAATTCAACTTCATTTACGCCATATGCTGCCCATCTTCACCGCCTCGCAATGCCAAGAGTGCTCTAACATCATGGACGTATTGTAAACCTTCTAGCATTGGAATCAGGTGCATTAGGTCGTTGTCTGTGGGGTCGTTGATCCAGCCCTGGATTGGGATGGCATTGTCTGGGGGAGGTCAGTGTCCAACGTCTTGGGAGGAGCAGAAGGAAGCTTTGTGAGCGGATAAACCAACCTTCATGAAACAAATAGCTCAGCGGACTGTTGTCCAGAATCATGACTTTACTCAAATCTGGTTCCACTGAGCTAAGGTCTTTTATGTACGCGCCTTGACGATATGTGCAGTGCTGGCGATAATATCTGGCAGAGAAGAACTTTCGCTCCGCCTCCAGCCAGTCAATGACCGGATCGGCATACTCTTGCACCGAGGCCGTAAAGATGACCAGATTGAACCATTTGCAAATGCGCCGCAAAAACTCGTCGCAGTACGGTCGCTTGTTGACCCAATACAGGATAGGGTGTTGAGCCGCGCCGCCTGGCGCAGTGCCCATGCCTAATGATGCGGTATTGAGTCGAACTTCTACCATGTGGCCACTGCTTCTGCCTCCCTTGGACATGCTGTGAATTAACGTCTCGTCAAGGTCCAAGATCAACGTCTTTTGGTGCTTGACAGACGCATCGAGCTTGAGGTAGGAGGGTTGGCGTCGGGGTATCAAGGGTCGGGGCGGCGCCGGCGTCTTCGGATACTTGGTCAGAGCTGCAATCGGCGACGTTGGGGACTTGAGTTGCGCAGAGAGATCTTCATCGTCCATCTTGGTTCGCGCGACGGCGGACTGCGCGCGACGGTGCTGCTTTCGTTGTCGCAAAGCATCGTCGTTGTGAAGCTTGATTCGTATCGACCTCCGGGCAGAGCTGAGCTCTTCCGCAGGATTCAGTGATTTTGATCTGCCGTGCCGGCTGGGTGAGCCCTTCGGTGTTTCTCCCTCCGAATCCGACGATTGGCCTGATGTGGATGAACCAGATGATGTGGTAGGGCGCGGCGCTATCCGACGGTAACCCCAATGCCGCGAGCTTCCGGACACGGCGGGTGGTGACTCGGTATGGTTGGCAGCATGGTTCCCATGCGATCCGTAGATATCCATTCCACCTCCCTTCTGGACGCCAAACAGCCTTTTCACCTGTGACAAGGGAGCAAAGACGCCGTGTTCGTCGTAGAAGCAGGCAATGAGGTAGACTCCAGGTGAAGCCAGGGTGGCAAGCACCCAGCGAATCGAGCTAATGATGCTTGAAACCAGCCGTCGGGGTATTGAATGCCACCAGCTAGCCCGCTTGTTGCCATCTTTGCTTCCATCCAAGAGCGGCGTCTCCTCGGTAGCTACGTGGCTGGGCTTTTCGTTGTTCTGTTGCAAACCATCGTAGTCGCAGCCGAGAAATGGGTCGGAGCTAGCTGCATCTTTACCGTCGTTTCCGTCGGTCGATTTTTCGTCGGGGAGCAGCCCGGCGCTGATGTTGCCGAGGCTGTTGGATCGAGATGGATTGGGACTGGCAGAGGGGGAAACGCGAGCGGTAATGATGTTGAGAGAATTCATCTTGGAGACGGACAGCCAGCCATCAGGCTATTCGAGGCTGTCCAAACGACGGATTGAAAGGCACGACCGAAGAGGAAGAAGAAGCGCGCGGGCGTGTCGCAAGAAGAAAGGCGAGGTCGCCCCAAAGGGATGCTTTGGGGATGATGTCAATTCGCCGGGTATCGCTAGGCTTTGCCAAAATCAAGGAATCAGCACGGGAAAAGAGTGTCAAGTGGGAGTGAGTAGGAGTGTCTAGATGGTGCATTCGTAGTTGGCCGAGAGAAGCTCAGCATCGGCAAGAGGAGCAGGCTTGCGATGTGATGGCTATGCGGGAAGCCGTTGACATGGGAAGATCAATGCAATGTTTGGGCAAGGTTTGAGGGGCGAGCAGAGGTCAACCCGTGTCAGGCGCAACGACCTGGTTAACTGCCCAGGTGCGTCAAGACTATTCCGTACTTACGGAGTGCTTGGCGGAGTACAGAGTATGCAGGCCCATGCCATTAGCGCCCTGCTATGCCCTGTCGGCCTTCAAGCCTGGGGCGCCAATCAACCACTAGAGGCCGGTGGGCAGGCGCCATGGACGATACTCCGTACGGACCAGACTTGACTACCCCGTCCCCGAACGTTACCGGCCACAACTTGCCGAGGAACATCCGCCAATCATTCGCAAGAGGTTCGCAGCATGGGATGAGCCATTGCATGTTGGGGCCTCAGATGGTTTATGGATGCGGGCAGCAGTATCACAAATGGTTTTTCCAAGAACACGTTCTCATGCACAGCGCACCCAGGACCCTTAGAACAAACTCACTAGACGACAAATGCAGGGTAGATCCAGGAACAGGCGGCAAAGAGATGGCAACTTGGCTGGGGTTGAATTATTTTGATATATCATGTCAGAATATATATATTCTCACTGGGGCCTTGCTTACTAGTTTATGCGCTTCTCATTTAGATTTCTTTCATCCTCTAGTTGCGAGCAGATGCAGTTAACACATTTACCACAATTGCACGTGGACTCTTGCGTCCCAAACCATCACCTGTTGGCAAGCCTTCCATCCATTCACCTACTCCAACACTTTTTTTTTTTTTTTTTTCATAATAAAACAGGTCAATTATTTTCCCTCCTTTTTCCCAAAGGGCCATCGTCACCATTATACAACTTTCATTTCGATATCTATATGATGCGTTGTCGCGGCTAATTCAACGTGGCCATCAGACACTACAGGTAACCACATCCGTGCCCCGCCTTGTCCTACTCGCCAGAACAAAAAAAAAAAAATGAAGTAACTACCTAGGTACCTAGTAGCTACTACCTACCCTAGGCACTTCTTAATAATAGTCAAGTACCACCCAGTGTATATATTTTTTTTCCTTGGAGTGACTCAACCGCACAACCCACCAGACGGTCCAGCCGCCCCTCGTCGCGAAATAGCCAGTTTGCCATTGAAGAGATTCCAATTCCCGCCGCAGCCACGCGATCATATTCCCTAAAACAAGGTTAAGATGCCGCCTGCTACCGCGGGCTACGCGCCCGACCTAGAGAAGTACCTTAAATCCTTGAAAGGGCAGCCATTGGAGGCCGCAGTCGAGAACCTCATTTCGTGAGTGGCCCTCAAAGGGAGGAGTCTCGGGGAACTGGTTCGCACAAACGCTAACAACACCACGCAGCCTGCTCAAGAGAAGACAGATCCGTGGATCTGAGCCCTGTGCCGTGGCTACTGCCCATATTTTTTTACAAGTCGTTGCTCGATCCAGATGGCAAGACGTCGACGGCCTCATTGATAATGTCACGCGCATTGGTCGACGCCTAGTCGAGGCACAACCCAAAGAGCTAGTCATTGGCAATATTGTGCGACGGATTCTCGCTCTCATCCGTGACGAGGCTGCAGAAGATCGGAATGAACCCTCCAGCGAGACCCAGAGCGAGGCTCCCATGACTCCCCAGGGCGAGCATCCTACAGCCCCCCCCCTTGTCCAGTCTCCTCCGTCGACATATGCAAAACAGGACTCGGCTGGGGAGGTAGTCTCCAACACAGCCGTGGCCCCAACGAGACCCGGGCCGGTACCGTCATATAGCTCAGTCAATGTCCCGAAATCTCTCTTCCATCTGCTTTCCGCTTCCCCCCCTTCCAATATCGATGGCTTCAGTTCGCCGCACCGACATTCTGGCACTTCGACGCCTACACGTGTTGCGCACCAGACCAGCAGCCAGGTCCATGCCCTGCGTTCCGAAGTCATTGACGGAATCGAGGAGATCAAGGACGAAATTAGTCAGGTGGATGACCAGATCGCTGCCCTTGCCGAGGTTCAGATTCGCCCAGGGGACCACATCTTGGTTCACCAGCCTTCTCCCACAGTCGAGCGCTTCGTCCTTCGAGCAGCCGCGAAGAGAAAATTTACAGTTCTGATCGTGACGGAGCCTCTACGAAAGCAAACTGAGCAAGTACAACACGCTGCCTTCCGCAAGAAGCTGTCGACCGCCGGCATCACCGTCATCAACGTCATGAACTCTGGTTTAATGGCCTACATGTCAAGAGTAAACAAAGTGGTTCTCGGCGCGAGGACCATTGTCGCCAACGGAGGTGCAGTCACAGACGCCGGTGCTGCAGCCATCGCCAGGGCCGCCCGCGAACAAGGCAATGCCGTTGTCGTGTTGGCTGGTGTGTACAAGCTGAGCCCAGTGAATCCATTCGACGAAGACGCTCTTATTGAGTGGGGAGACTCCTCGAGCTTTGTTAGTTTTGCCGACGGAAGCATGGTCAACAATGTGGCAATCCGAAGCCCCGTAACTGAACTGGTACCGGCCGAGTTTATAGACACATATATTACCAACTTGTAAGTGGCACCATGGGAACTCACGTCATCTTGCAGCCACCAACGTGGATTGATAACTAACAACACCCACAATTGGGTTTACAGGGGGACACACTCGCGCGATCATCTTGCTAGCTTGATCGCAGATCACTACAAGCAAGAGGATGCTGATTTTCATCTCGGAGACGCATCCGATCGATGATAGCCCGAGGCAACTGCTCGCCTCCGACCTCGCCCTGCGCAACGTCAACGAGTTCTGTGCGAAGATAATGGTGGAATTTCATCCCGAAAAAAAAAAAGAGGGGGCACAACTACGCTCGCCTACGATTTGGATATGGATAAACCATTCGCAGTTGATACTCGATGACGACTTGGCCTGCAAGTTGTGTCATAGTTCAAGGATTCGGGCTGGGGGATGGTCGATGAAGGGTTGCAGGGACCTCCAGCGGGCCGCGTCACCACACACACACAGGCAACGTTTGAACGAAAGGCTACCATTGGGGGGATAGATAGATACAGGGTGACAGGCTGGGCCGCCCTGCGAAAGCGAGTGCGATAGACTGGAACGATGGTGGAGTTGGGCTGTTGTGTCCACCAATCTGATTCTCACGGCAAACGGCAATGGGCCTTCTAGGACAGGCTGACGATGAGGCAGACGCGGTCAATCTGACGGTCAGCGAGTGGAAGCACCGGGGAGACGTAAGTCGTCCAGGCTGTGGCTGCGGGGCACGTCGGGGTTGTGTGTGCTCGGAGCCGCAAGTTGTCGATTATCTCTTGCAGGGCGTCTGTACCATAGCTTGATTCGCGGATCCCTTGTGTTAGAGGCAGCCACTAGCAGCAATTCCAACTAGCCTGTACGGAGTTCCGAGAAGAAGAGACCACATATTTGTATGCTCATAGATAATGATGAGGTGACCTCGCCATTCTGCACCTTGACAAAATCCGCTACTCACCAAACACCCGTTGCCTTTTTGGACCTCGGCGTTGATTTGACGGTATCCCTATCCGTGCGACAGGCTACAGCAAACGGGCCCTCTGATCTCGTTCGTTCACGTGTGGCGCCATAAGCTGGCAGTGAACGTCTTCATCTGCTGGGCTGGATTCGGCAACACTATCCGAAGCGCGGAGAGAACCAGACCCCTTCATCAGCTGCCCCGCAAATGCAAACTTTCCCTCGCATTCATTTGAACAACGGGCGACCGAACAACTCAAATCATCTCAAAATAAGGACAGGACTCGCATGGGAGAAAAACGTCGCCTAGCGATGAATGCGAACGTGAATAATCTGCACGTCAACGTCGACGATGCGGAGGCCCCTCCCCCGCCATACTCAGAAACAGACATCTACTCCAACTCAGGCGGCCCTCGATCCGCCGCATCATCCACCTCCCACACTGGCCTCACGCCTCTCGACGATGCCTCGTCCACAGGAGAGACTGTCTACACGCCTCCCTTGACACCTCGCACATCGTCAAATACACACCTGGAGCCCCGGCAATCTGCAGAGCAGCCCGGCGCCGCATTATACTTTGACTCACGACCGCCGCCCGCCAATCCTCCCACAGAGACGCTCGTTCACACCGTCAGAGTGGAAAGTACCTCTCTTCCAGATGACTTGCCGTATCAGGACGACTGGGCTGCGAGGGATGTCACGCCGCAGGACTGGGCGACCTTTGTGAACTTCCTGCTGCCTGATCACACGACCAGGGGCAATGAAGCGGTGATTGAAAGGAAGCTGAGGAGTGAAGAGAAGACTGATGCTGCCTTGACGAGCGGGAGGTCTCAGGCTGAAGCGCAATTGGAGCAGACGCGGGACAACGGGGCCGCCACGACGAGGAGCAGGTCGGAGATTGAGGCGACTGTCCAGCAGTGGAACGATGGCTTCTTTGGGCCAAGGGGGATGAGTGTGAGGCTTGAACCAGAGGCAAGAATGCCAGGTTCTTGGGCGGCGGAACTCGAGGCTCCTGAGCAACGGAGAGAGAACAATTCTTCTATATTCGGCAAGCTTTCCATTGGTAGTGACGGAATCCGATATGGCGACACTGTGGTCCTGGACGGCAATGGCATCAAGATCAACGGTCTCATTGTGAATCATGACGGCATCTCCATGGGCAGGAATAGCCAGCCTTTGGGAACAGCAACGCCGCAGCAACGAAGCCTTGCCGGGCCAAGCGGGCCGACAAGCCCAGCAGGCCCAACAGGCCCGTCGTGGACATTCGGCGGCCGCTCAGGATGGGACCACCATCGTCACAATTTCCGTGATTTCCGCCACGGTGGCCATGACTGGCATCATGACAGGCACCATGACAGACACCACGGACGTCACCATTGGGATGAACGTCGCGAAGGCCAACACTCCGAGGACCGCGGCAGAAGGTGGTATCCAGACCGCAAAGACGGACACGACCGATCCCGCTCCATCTCGTCAGATTCCTCCGATTCCTCCAGCAGCTCTGAGTCGTCGATTGGCTCCCTCCCCGACTACGACGACGTCAAGGACCACCAGCTTCCACTATACGCCGAACGGCTCCGGGACTGGACATCCCACCCCGGCCAAGTACGCACCAAGAGCGACGTTCGAGCCCTCAAAGCAGAATTGAAAGCCGTCCCAAAGGGACCTGCAGATCCGAACTTCAACCGCAAGGCTCTCAAGGGGCAAATCAAGGGTCTCCACGCGAGCTGGAAGTCCATCAAGAGGGCCCAGAGACAAACTCGAAAGGCTTACCGACGAGAGCGACGGATGCAGCGCAGAGCGGAGAAAAGGGAGTATCGAAACCAGAGACGAGAGATGAGACGGGCTCACAAGGATTATAGAAGACATGGAGGACCGTTTCATGTGCAGCCGCCGCCAATACCTCCTGTTCCCCAAGCACCACCCGCACCACCCGCACCGCCAGGCCCTACCGCGGGTCCCAACCCCCCTCCGTGGACCCAGAATTGGCCACGAGGCTGTACCGGTCCATCCCAGAGAAGTTCCTTCTTCTTCGGTCCCGACGGACCTCTCGGCGAGCGAGGGCCATTCGGCCACCGCGGTGCCTTTGGAGGGCCGAGAGGAGGGCCTTTTGGCCGCGGAGGATGGGGCAGTTGGGCCAGAGGCTGCGGCGCCAACATGGCTGCAGGAGGACCATGGGGTCCGGCAGTTGGTGGAAACCTGCGCGAGGCGCCCGGTGCGTGGCCCGAAGAAGACCACGAGTCTGGCGTCTCGTCACACATTCCTCCCCCCGGGGCCGGGGCCGCGGCGAAGTACAAGGCCGCGGAGCAAATCGAGGCCGAGATTGCCAAGTTGGCCACCAAGGCGGCGGGTGCGAAAGAGGGCAGGGCCGCAATGGAAAAGGAAATCGAGGCCCTGACCGACAAGTTGGAGGCGGTGAGGATGGAGGCGGACGAGGCTTATGCGCGGGAGTTGGCTGAGTAGGTGAATGAGTGAATGAATGAATGAAGGGCGATGAGCGTAATGATTGTGAATTTTTCAGATGGTGTCTGGTGGGCATCTGGCATCTCCGTTCTCTTTATGTAGTTTTAGAATGATGACGCAGTAATTTTATTTCTTTGAAGCAGACAAATGGAGCCCGTGGATTTTGCGTTTGTTTCCGCACGGTGATTGTCTTGAGCTGCTGCAGCGGCGTGAAATGCCGTTGGCCTGCTGCACATCAAAGGCACGTTGTCTTGATGCTAGACGAAGAATTGCCGTTCATGTGTCTAGTTGAACCCAGTGAGCTCTTTCTTGTTCCCCTGATGGCGGAGAGCAATCACGCCGTGAAGGGTCAAGTCCTGTCTGCCTCAAGACTTGGGCCGGATCTACCAAGGACGTCCAACGGTCTGGGTGTCGCGTTGTCGGCGTGGTACGGAAGTCAGCTTGTAATCCGCCGACTACGGCTCATCACGAAGCTGGCAGTTTTCGCCTTGGAGTGTTTGTGTGCCCTTTTTGCATGGTCCTGCCTCGGGTTGCCCTCCTACCCAATAAAGCACCCATGATGACTAAAGAAATATAGCCAAAGCCAAGAAGTATTTAAAGTAGAGTGGCCGGAGCTGGCGACACTGGATGCCACAGACCCGACTCAGAGCCAACCCAGACTCGCTAAACGTCCCCAGGAGTCTCTGCTACGAAATGGAAAGCCACCCAAATGAATAAGGTGAAGGAGGCGGAGGGCGGCTCGGTACGGAGGTTGAACGGTGGCTAGCGACTCGGCGAATGCAGTTCGACGCGTCTATTGCAAAGTCTCCGGACTCCTGACGGATGTGGTGGAAAGAAGACAGGTACGAGTGGCCACTTTTGGCTGCGGCGGCGCGTCATGTTCCCCCTGTCTGCGGCTCTGAAGTTGACGTAGAAGGCTTTCTTAGTGGTTGTAGAGGCGAATTTGGCATCCGCGGCCACGCTTTAAAGGTGGCTACGGAGTGCTTATGCTCAAGGAGACAAGATGGATCAGAAGTCGATTCAGGCGACCATGGAGTATGACATGCTGCCCTTTGCTAATAGTATTCTTTGGAGACCAGCACATAGTTGGCAAGCTAGTTGATGGTATGGATGTACTCTCATTGCACGTGTATATGCTCGTCTGCTTCCAGACGAGAATAATTCTCCCCCTCAAAGTCCTGCCACCCAAGCCGATGGATTTTCCTGTGAGAAGGGGATGTTGGACACGTTGTGTTGAAATACGTGCGGTTGCTGACGGACTGTTCAACCGATTATAGCCGCCTATAGTATGACGAGCTTCTTTGGACGGTGAGTTCCCTTGCCACCCCCTTTCTTATGTCATTTGTAATGCTCAGGATGTTCTGGGTAATTCACACAAGGCCATATACTATGAGCTCTAGCAAGCATCTTTCCAATCGCTCACATGGTTGATGGCTGATTCAAAATCTTCAAAAAATTCACCTCCATATATCACCCCTACGGGGCACCGTAGAACTTTCCCAGCCGTAGCTCCGGATTCGCTCGCTTGTACGATGGCAGAGCCCGGTACTGGACAGCGAAAAACACGTCGTCTGGGATGGTATTGCGTGAGTCCCGTCTCAGTGCAGTTGCCGGGCCCAACGTTGACAAGTGACATACCCCGTGTTGAACCCAGAGCGCGGCTCCAGGGGGCTTTTAACTGTTACTTTGCAGGGTTTAATTCTTGTATATATTAATCGTCTTCCCAAAATACAGTAAACCACGTCTATAAAGATCCTGTACTATTTGGGTTTTTATAAAAATTCACGGTTATTTAAGGTTTTTCTTTAATAAATTATTAATAATCAAGTTACTTATAAATAGAATTTAAAAGGCGCTATTCTCCGCACCAAATCAAGCGGGAACTACCGCTACTTTTAACGGCTTTAATAGTGATAGCTCCCCCGTGGACATCATCGACATTGGCGTTTCACCTGCATGCGGAAGGACGGCCTAGACACCTTCATCGCCACTCCCCCGGATGTGCAATGCTGTGATTGCGAAAGGACAGCAGCTCGACGAATCCCCTGCACGAACGGTATTGGCGCTTTCCAGCTCTCAATCGGACTCCCAAGAACATCCACACCCGCGTCAAAACCTTGCCAACTTGCCTCAAATCTACTGAGCATTCCCTTGTCTATCATGTGTTTTCTCGGCTCCCAAGTCGTGGTGATGGCGCCGGGTGCATCGGACCATTTCACTAGGAAAGTGTGTTGCCTCCACAGAGCAAGCGGGTAATCCATTCGATAAATGTCAGGGTAGACATTTGGACAGGCGACTTGGATGGACTGCCGCGGTATATTTCCTGTACATTGGTTCAATGGCGTAGATTCTCGACTTTGTCTGGTGGTTGGTGGCCTTTTGGGGCTGGATCGTTCTGGCAGCTATTGTCTTCCAAAGTATCACCAGTGGACGTCGCGGTGCCACTCTCTCTGGTGCACTTTAGGACCGTATGGCCAAGTGGCTATTCCAGTTAACGATTGACATTGCACAACAGCTATCTACCTCTGCTGTTATGCACGTACGGCATGCGCCCTGGTGCTATCATTGCTCCTCGGGAGCTATGCAAGTCCGGGGTCGAGGAACCTTGTCAAATTTCTTGTCGGGTATTTTCGTAGAATATACGCCGTAGGCTATCAACAACTTCCTCATCACTTCCTGATCGAATCCTTGCCGAATAAGATCCCTGTGTGTCACTGAACCGTTCACTCTCGATCGATCTGTTGTTCCCTTCCTCCTTTGACAGCACCTCGGTACAGCCAGTATCTTCTTCCCTATATATTCTGCCGGATCAACCGTGAAGGGTAAATATGTGTTTGCGTATTCACCCCCATCCTCGTCTACCTCACAAATATTGATCTGCAAAACTTCCGGAAAGTAATCATCGGCAGGAACAAGATGGTCAAATGTAACGCCGTAATAATCAATTTCACTAGTATGTGCCTCGTCAACAACTTATCGAATTGGTAATGACAAAGAATACTCTTACTTTTTCTGATGCACCCAACCCAGGTACTCGTCTCGCACAATCATGTCATTCTCGACAAAAGGGCGGACATCATGTCCATATATCGTTCGGTAAGTCAACTCTGCGAGTTCTGCGCCAGCCTGCTGAAACTTCTTTTCATGGACGTCAACATGCCACGGTACCTCCGGAAGCAGTTTCTGGATAGATACCAGCGGGCCTTCGATCTGGATTCTCACTGGCCTGTCTAGCGGTGGTGGGTGGAAGCAATGAGCAGGACTTTGAATGCATTTTGGGATTAGCGCCTAACCCGCGATATTCTTAGCCTTACGGAGTAACTTATAGCTCTAAACGTATTATAATGCGTTTATAGTATCTTACGTGGTCGGTTACGGTTCTCGCCTCAATAAGTTCCAATAGCTGCTCCTTTGTTGCGTTTGCAAACATGTTTTCGGAGAGGTAGTTGGCTAGATCATCGTTTGTCTTGAAGCTCCGCTGGAAGATTGAAAATACCGTGCCCTCAGCATAGTATCGGCCGGTTGCGGCGAGCTCTTCCGGGCTCAGTGGAACCACTTTGCCGTCTGGACGCGCTAAAAATGCCATTTTTGGTCCAAGAAACTCGACGAGACCTGTAAAGGTTTCCGTCACCGCCTTGTAAATGGCATCGTAATCGAGCCCCCGGAGGCAAGATAGCGTGGCGTTGCCGGCACCGGCACAGCCAGATTCCTTTAGTACCTATTTATACGTAGCTTGTCCCTTGGGCCCGCCAATGGGTTCGGCGGAAAGAGCTGTTCCCGGGTTCATGATGCCGCCTCGGAATAGCGGTTTGCCCTTGTACGTTGCGTTGCCGCCGTAGAGGGCCATTTGGTAGAAGACTGACATGGACCCGGCGGATTCTCCCCGAAGGGTGACTTTGTCCGGGCCACCGCCGAACTGATTAATGTTGTCAGCTACCCATTCCAGGCCCATGCGTTGATCGAGAAGGCCGGCGTTTGCGCTACCCTCATTTAATATGTCGGAACCAGTCATGAAACCAAAGCCGCCGACTCGGTAATTGACAGCCACAAAAGTAAAAGGCTGCTTGTTTGCCACGCCCTCGCGCACAAGCCGTGTGCCGTCGAATGTGTTGGTGCTCCCGAGCACGAAGCCGCCGCCATATATCCAGAAGCGTACGGGAAGCTTTTCGCCGGGCTTGGTACTGGCTGGGCGATTAATCGAGACATTGAGGCAGACTCCCTGACCATTCACCTCTTTGAGGAACGGCCGCCGATGTTGCTGATTATATTCTTATCTGCTGGCGACACAAGAAGCTGGGGGCAGGCAGCGGCTATGCCTGTGCCGTCTACTTTATCCAAGATGCGAGACAGCTTCTGTGGCGGCCGAAGGCGCAGCGAACCAGTTGGCGGATCAGCATATGGTATACCGTTGAATGTCTCGACTCCGAAGTTGGATCGGCCAGTGATGGCGGTGCCGGAAGTGAGTTGAACTTTGTCACACGGTTAGGTCAAGTCAGGATGAGAAGCCCTTTGTTAGAACTATGGGGCGCACTAGGCACGGCCCGTTCCTTTCATGTATATATCCCTTTGACCTTTGTATCTGCCCCAGAGCACCCTTACTAAGTATTTCTACCTGCATCTTAGCCAAAAACGCTACTAATAAATGTACCAGGTATTATCAGTAGTACGTTTATTATATTGACAAATAAGTGGGCACATGTACTTGCTTATTCTTAATCCCCATTGGATATTATTCCCGTAGAACACTTTACCTATCCTAGCCTTAAAAGCCCCGGCAGCCAATCACAGTTCAACCGCTAGGTAAGGGTTTAGTGTACTTGTTGTGCGGCGTGCCCCTCTTCATTTAGAACTTTCTATATACCGCCCACTTATTTCCCCGGATATGGATCCATAATCCACCACGTCTGAGCAACTTCTGGTACGCGACATGCGGTGTCAAGGTCATGACTCTCGTAATACAAATTTCAGTGTTTGCCTCTAGGCAACGTAAGGTGACGCAGTGGGTGAATAAATGACGAGACTGCACAGAGGCCCAGCAAAAGGCCACCTCCGGCCGCCGTGGGATGTGCGTACGAGTGCGGACTAAACTTGGCTGCTCAACCTAACAGATACGGTAAGTTTCCTAAAATGACCCCCTTCAAGAGCGCGGGTATCTGGTCTTGTACCGGTCGTTGGAGTGCTCATCAGGGAGCCAATCTACATGACCTTCCGCGGATCGAATCATCACTACTGAATATGTCAGATTTGTCACTTTCTAATAGGATAAAGCTCACCATACAAGTTCGAAACTGTCCCTGTGCTAGTTATTGCGCTCATCATGTACGTCTTTGTGTCTACCGCCTGGGAGACCGAGAAGCTTCTCTGGCTTATTCAGAAGGTCAATCGGATCGCAGTTGAGCAGCGGGATCCTAATTCGCAGTCTATCAAATTTCAACGGGATACCTTGCTCTCTCGTCCTGGGGATGCCAGTCGCCACCCAATGGGAGATCTGCCTGAAGATGAGACGCGAAGCTTGACAACATGGAGCTGGCGGGTGGCGCCGTCCCCAGCCAACGCCCAATGATGGCAAGGGATTTGTCGCGACGCTTGGAATCTTGAACCGGCATCGTGTCTCATTATTTGTTGTGCCGTCGGCTTGTAGTACCATGTAGCTTTGTTTTATGGGAGGGTTTGGATTGAGACGGCAGGTGACGCGTGTTACCAATACGATTGTATTGAATAAAACGCACTACTTGTCCAAGTACAAGCTGGAGAAATTCTCGATTCCAACTTGATCAAGCTCTGTGGTGCTCCCTTTATTCAATTGCCTTATTTACCCGTGGCCAATCACTCAACAACAAGCCATCATCCTTCACTTGCCACAACCTCAGTCTTTAAGGAAGCGACTCCCACCCTCTCGTACTTGTGTCTGCTAGCATGACCGATCTGTCGAATAATAAGAGCGTGAAACCTCTGGTCCGGCTTTCATTTCTGGACCCTGTCTCGTCCAATGACGGCGCACTTGAGCTCCATCGGTTGTTTCCGGGTCCTCGTCACATGTCACATAACTTGACAGGTCCGTGTTATTCTTGATCTCCCTCGCCAACACACTCAGGGTAGTTACTGCCGCCTCTTCATTACACCCACTCGCCCCCCCTTGTCTGTTGGCCCGGGACTTGAACGGGTTCTTGAGATCATGGGTCGCCCACTCGACCTCCTCGAACCGTAGCTGCGAGGAAGTGATGGGACCGTCCTTTGGGAACCACGACTATGTCGGTGGATGGTGACGACTGTCCGGCGGCTGTTCGATGCGCTCCGTGAACTCCTCACTGCCTCGCTTCCACAAGAGGAGCCTCGCAAAATACATCTTTACCAAACCAAAAGCTGCTTTAGTCTTGAGGGCTTTGGAAAGTCGGTTTTGCAGACCTAGGATCGCTACCGCCCCGGTCCGGTTTATCCGTGAATGCTTGTCTAGAGTATCTCTCGAATAGATCCTGTATCGACATCTGCCGTCCGTCCCGGTAATACTGCAAGGCAAACTTTGGGAAGTTGGCATCAGCGAGGAAGCTGGCCATGTGGCTGGCAGTGAAGAGCTCTTGTTAGCACTTTTGATTGATCCTGGCTCATGTGTGGAATGAATAAACTAACCATTTGGGACGGGTTAGTGTCTCGCAGCGCACCCCGTCACTACACTGCCAGTACACCTGGGTCGAGCTGAAGATAGTGCGTCGTGATAATGCCCTCCCCTGGAGAACCCATCCGCGTTGATTCAACTCGCCAAGCTCAACATCGGCATCGAAGTCGTCTATATTTGGGCATGTGTAAAGCGTGTCTCCGCCTGGGATTGGGAGCTGCACGCATTCCCGAGGCTCGCGATGGGTCAAGAAGCCATGGAACGACGATTTGGCGGAGCTGGCGGCAATTGTACAGTATGCACTACTGTAGATGTTTTCCATCTCGACTGATTCGCTATTCCAGTCATCCTTGTCATCTTGGACAATGCAAAGCGAATCAATCCAAAGGTACTTGAGCCCGATCCCGAGTGTCACAGTGATGGCATCGCGGAAGTTGCGCGGAAGTCTCAAAACATCGACTGAGTGCTCGAGGTCTTCCAAGTTATGCTTAGTGGTGCAGAACTTTTCCCCTTCACCAAGCCTTCCCCAGCAATGGCTTAGTGCCACGTACCGTGGTGATTTGAGTGTGGTCGAATCTATAAGCCGGATCGGCTTGCCAAGCTCTAGGAGGCACGACAATCTCCATGGGATGAATCGCAGTCTTGGATCCATTCCTTGAGTAGTGCGAATTGCTCTTGGCTACCGTGATTGAATAAAGCGAGTGGCAAGTTGGTGGTCTAGTGTCGATGTCAGACATGGTTGAGTTGTTCCGACTGCTAAATGCAAGGCTTAGCAAAGTGACATGTTGATTGAATTGTGTGTGGGAAAGCGTATAGGCTGGATGGCATGGTCAGGCTCGTTGGTGGCTTTGCATTAGTGGAATGATCAACTTACTAGCTAAGACAGATGGAAATTGGTTCCATTTGCCAGAAATTAGAGATTTTCTCTATACTCACATTCTGCGAATATTACCATTCTCAGTCGGTCCAGTGTTTCTGATATCGCGCGGGGGGGTGTTACACTGACATACTAGAGGATGAACACAAGATATTAGCTCCTGTACTGGGAATGGGGACGAAATACTTACTGTCTGACGAGCTGATACTGTGGACTTCTCTACATTGAGAGAAGACTGGGTTGGGCCCCTGGGAATTTCGAGGGCTTTTGTTTGACTGCGGCGGCGGTTACCATTTGTAGCCTGGAGCGTGTTGTAAAGGTTTAATGTTCATGTCCACAATCTTCAGAAGAGTCTTCCAGTTATCCTTATCTCTGAAATAAGTCTCTTTTCGTTGAATTTGGTCTCACGGCGTTATTTTCACAGATAAAGTTGACAAGTCCCCTCGTTTGTCGGAACCAATTGGCGCATGTTGAAGAATAGAAGCTACATTGTCTTTTGTCAGGGCAGGAACTCTTTGTCGACTCTCGAGTTAAGTTTCTCTGCTTCGTCGACGCATTGGATCAACCTGTCGAGATGGTCAACCCTATCCAACTGGCCATGGCTGGCGGCGACGTGACTCCAGTCGCCTGACGACGTGAATCACCTTGGATGGGGCGGGTGCGTCGTTAAGTTGCAAAGAATATTGGAGTTGTGTGATTGTCAGATCGTCCATGGATGTGCAGCAGACCGCCGGGGAAAGGAGTCTACTGGGTAGTGCTCAAGAGGCTTGTTGAGGGTTTTTCGTAAGCTGAAGCCGATGACGAGTGAAATGTGCGGAATTTCTGGACCACCTATGTCTACTGTGCGAGAGTAATCACCGGTGGCTTGTGGTTTCCCGTGAAAAGAGGAAAGGGGCGAAGGAGGAAAAAAAAGAAAAAGGAACAGGAAAAAAAAAAGGGTGTTCCAGCCTGTTGTATCCCTTGAGCGGTACACCATGACGAGCACGTGGTCAGGACCCGATGCAAGTCCATGTCGTCAAAAGCAAGAGGGAAGCCGGGCTGGCGTCGCTAGCGAAGAAAGCAGACAGATGACAGATGACATGCAGCCGCTGTCTTGGTCGCACCAGCACTGCCTGAGCTTTTGGAGAACAGGGAAGCCACCAGACTCTAGCTAGGAAATGTGTCTTCATTATGCACAGACTTCGCCAGTGAATGTAGCTGGGCAGTTTACAGCTCGATTCCTGTAGTCAATGCAATGGGTCAAGTCCAGCCAGATAGATGACCAGGAGGAACATGCCCACCTGCCCAGCGAGTCAAATCGCCAACGCCACCACAACGCTCCATCATGTATGTCGACGTTGGAATTATACAAAAAGGTCAATAGTGCTATGGTACAAGCGTTTTGTCAACGCAGAACGGCACTCTTGGGCGGACATGTGCGTGTGTGCGTGTGTGCGTGCCTACTCTGGGTACATGGACTGGGGCCACCACCACCACCACCACCACCACCACCGGCATCGAGCATAAGATCGTTCCTATCTGTGAACTGGAGCACTAGGCCTTTCCAAATCGTTGGACTAGTAGCACTCATGTCGCCTGGACTCTAGTGACTCTTGCTCGTATGCTGTGCTTCGACGGTGAGCTCTGCTGGTCGTTTGCGATGGGGGTGGTCAGGATTCATTCATCCTTCCCAACATCCGCCCTTGGTCAATGAATCAACAGGCTCTTTGCCTTTTAGAAGAAGCTCCAGGAGTTTTACAGGCTCTTGCTAAGCTGTCTGACGAAATATTCCTGTTTATACCCTGGCCCGGCTCTGGTTCGAGGCTTGTTCAACTGCGGTGCGAAATGGAGTATTGTCCACAGGTCAGATCACCGTCTGCATATAGAGACCATGGGAGAGGATATAAATATGCCTCGCGTATTTTTACTTGCCAAATGCCTCGCTCTTTATTCCCATGCTGATAGCTTGACAGCCTTTCACCCAACTACAAGATGATATCGGACGAAATTTTTGTGAGGAAAACTCCTCATTATGTCGTTTATACCCGTAGATCAGATGGTATTTTCAAAGAACAACTCAAATCCCTTTTGGAGCACAGATTCCCACACCAGGAAGTAGAAGTATGCCCATGTGACAGCCTGGGCCTGCACTCGATATACGTGGGTGCTCATGTTAAATCTTCCGGTAAGCATGATTGCTACATTTACATGGCCTTAGCTGACTTTGAACGCTTCTTAGACGGAAGAGGAACCAATCCTTTCTGACGGTCATCGAGCTAGCCAACAGCTTAAGAAACGGCGTGTTGAGAATGGCGCCAAGACAAACGAGCGATGGAAGGCACCAAAAGTAGAAGTGCTCAGACTTTCAAAGGCGAGTCTGAGGAATAAAACGTTGTTCATCTCCGGTATTAGACGGCCTTGTTGTCAACGGTTCTACATCTGAAGTTCATGTCCTATTAAAGCAGAGCTTGTCCGCTTAGAGTGTGGTGACAGCTATTTGCTGTATTACAGAGTAGGCTGGTCTCATTTTGTAGAAAATATCTATATGCGTGAAGAAGAATTATTTGCTTTCGCTGCTTGCACTTGTTTTCTTTGATGCTTTTCGGTGGAATGGTTGGGTGATGCACAACAAATTCCGATAACAGCTGGGATTACGCTTGGAGAAGGTTAAGATAGGAGGCTCTAGTTGCTTAACACGATTCCTGTTCGGGACGTGACTGACGTCGTTGGAGCGTTCCGTCTCCACGAGCTGTAGGCATCGAGTCCTCCTACGGCTTGCTTCTTTGCGTGACCTTGATCGGCTGACAATAACCGGTTAAGATGGGTTGTAGTGGGCCGAGAAAAAGCACATAGCTGAGGATCAAAGGGCGTCGAAGATCAACTGTATGTGGCATTCGTCAACTATCCTCTTGACGTACAAAAGCCTAGTAGAACCGCTCCTCTCCCAGTAGTAATAACACCAAATCAGACTATACACTTGTAAAGGTTGGAAAGCTCCGCATTCTCGGGCCTTGAATTTATATTGTTCTGAAATTGTTTGTCTCGCAGCATGTGTTCCACGATGGTTATCGCCATGACGACCGCTGGGGTGTTCTCATAGCGTCAAGCCTACTACCCGCTCGCGCCTCTCTTCTTGTTTAATAAAATTTTCTATAGCATGTTTTAGAAAAGGAGTACCCTCAATATCGATGCCTCGGCCAGGCCGGACAGGACGCGATTCAAATTTCATCTGGATGCTCCAGGTAGCAAAGCACTAATTCACCGGGGTAAAGCTTAAGAGTTGTCGACTAACTACCTGAAGAATTTCTATAAGGGCTTTCAAGCTCGGTTTGTCTTCGTGGTAAATGTTGGTAATCGTCATGCTTAATAGAGGTGTCGTGGCGGCGCTCTTCGCAGCCACCCACGCGGCTTCTGCCAACTACGGCTCCAGCGCCGTCATGAGGTGTTTCGGCATGTAGATGGAATACCGGATATTGAAAGCGGCTAGTGCTTTCTTGTTTCGCAGGTGGTCGCTCGGCCTCAACTTATGTTGGCGTGGCGAGGAGACATTGACCCTTGGCGGGCGCGGCGGCCCAAGCCTTGTTGAGACGCAGCAAACAAAGCAGCGACATGGCAAGCCGAAGAGCCCTCAGATGATAGCCCTGGTGTCTTTCCTTTGGTCCGCTCATGAAAGGATATTGTCTATCGACACAATTAAACCTCTAGTGAAAGAGAAGTACAGCAAAGCTACAGATGCAGAGTTGAAAATGAAGATGAATCAGATCATTGTACGGCGACGGATTGTGGGGATTCTACTATTTATACGCAGGTTCGAGCTTTTGGAGGCATTTGTTCAAGAGGGCATCTCAGATGCTCACTTGCCTCTTTCGTCTACAATTTCTGCTACAGATCCCAGCGCTTTAATAAGACCTCTCGGCACAATAAATACTATCCTGATGCGAAATTGGGGTTCCGCAGATCGGTATTCATTCTACTTTTCCCAGTCAATACTTTTCGTTCCATTTTTCAATATGCAGATGGGAAAACTCAGATTTCATGTTTTAGACTCAAGCGTCATACTGCTATAATAAAAGTGCGAGTATATGTTAGGGCCCACATGGTCACGTGTGAGGCACCAGGTTATTGTTGCTACGCTGCCACCCTCTAGCTAGCTCTTCTTCTTCTTCTTCTATATAATTAACTTCTTTACTTCTTTTAGCTCTCTTATAATATAACTTATTAATTACATTATAAGCTCTTATAACCTTACTATAGCTCCCTTTTATAAGCTCTTATATAGTAGTAATTATACTTATCTACTCTCTTAGTTAAAACATTAAAATTTTAGTATTATAAGGCCTCTTAATCCTAGAGAAAAAACATTATTAACTCTATTAAAATCCATTAAATTTTATTTTTAAATTAAGCTAATCTTATTTAGGTTCTCTTATAAAACCTAAAGGATTTCACATTTTAATAAACGTAATAAAGTTACGTTTAGCTATAAAAAGAGCGAATATTCGTTGTATTAATAACTTATTATAAAAGTAAATTTAAACTTAATAAACTTTTACCTTAAGCTCTTAATTAGCTTCTTTTATTCTATTATTAAATGACTTAATACTCTTAAATAGCTTCTTATTACTTACTCTTACCTTACTATTAGAAAGAATAATTAATTTAATTAATAATAAAATCTCTTTAAGAGCTTTAAGTAAATAACGTTAGTCTATTAACGTTAGTTTCTTAACGGAGAAACCTATATACCTCTTAAGACCCTTTAAACCTTCTTTTCTTTAAGGCTCTCCCTAATAGTAAATTAAATCTTACACGTAAGTATAATATATACGTAATACTACTCTTCTTTACCTTACTAAGAATAAGATAAATTTTAAATAATATACTCTTCTTTAAGCTTATATTATTAATAACGTGGTTAAACTCGCTTATATAATTAAATATATAATACCCTTTAAGAAACGTTACCTTATTAACGTATATATTCTTTATTAATTACTTAAGAGTAAAAATAATATTTTATTATTAACGCTTAATATAACTAAGATTATTACACGTTTTAAGGGTAAATTAAACTATAATTATAAGAATAAACTAAAAACTTTTATGCTTTCTTCTTATTAACCTTTAAAGTAAAGTAGTTAAATACCTAAGAGATAGCCTTATAACTTCGCTTTTACTCGCCTTATCTTATAATATAACGGTAACCTAGTTTTACGTTATATACCTTTTAGAGATTATAATAGTAACCCGGTTCTACGCTATACACCTTTTAGGAATTACTTATATTACTTACCTTCTTATTAAGATACCTACTTAAATAAACGATTTACACGTACCTTTAAGGTAGACCTTCTCTTTTATAACTTTAAAGTAACTCTTATCTTAGCTTACATTAATTAACTAAATTAACTAGTAGGTAACTATAACACTTAAGCTATCTTAAATAATACGTTTTTTAGATTAAGGAATTTCTTAGTTACTTAGGTAAACTAAGAAATAAAGATATATTACCCTTT